TGTACCGCGAACTGCGAACCACAAAGCACATGCCATTCCCATGCAAACGCGATCTGTGTGGGTGTTTCATTATATATCATAATATAGTATATGCATATACTTAGAGTTTGTATTTTATTTATTTTTTTTTTTGAGGTTAGTTTTTTTTTTTTTTTTTTTTTTGTCGAGTTGTAAATACCTGGTACAATCAATTTGAACGTATCTCCAATAACAAGTACAACAAGGATACTCTCATTCCCAGCGTTCTGTGATGTTTATCTTACATATTTTTTTTTTTTTTGTAGGTGTAGGTTGTGTGTAGGTGTGGGTGTGTGTGTGTGTGTGTGTGTGTCTTGTAAGTTAATGCTGTTGCCCGTTAACCGATTGTCGAATGCTTAAAAATGCAACTAACCTGCTTCCAATTGTTTCATACATTTGCCATCGATCAGCGCAAATGGAACTACCCCCAGGACTAGAAATATTTTTTGGTTTGTTCCGCATATTCCGCATTCATCTGACATATGTATTTATCCATCTGTCCCGTCTGTCTGGCTATCGACGACATACACTTTACACATACACATACACATATGCAAATACATATTCGCATGTTAGCTACAATCAAGACGACAAGTGCAACAAGAGACTCTTGGGGTTTTGCCTGTTCCGGTGCAGTTAACAAATTTATTTCTCCAATACCAAATAACGAATGAGGGATTGCTTTGATTGGCGAAACATGAATCGAAACTATTCAAGTTGGAACAATTGGAATTGGAACACTTCTCATATTCAAGACAAGTTTAATGTAAATCTTAATTGGTGCAGTGACAATGTGTTTCATTCTAACACTCCTTAGGCGATCGACTAATTCTGCGATGTTTAAACAATTTTTTGACTTTGTGTTAAATGCAGACAACTTCAGACATTCCGACATACCATTTGTTTCATTCCAGCATTCCTTTTGCGAACACGCACACGGACAAATTCTGTGACATATCTATGTACATGTGTTTCAATTCATCGTTCCTTCGCGTATCAGGCAGCGGACAACTTCTTACATTCCAACATATCATTTGTTTCATTCCAGCATTCCCCTATCCAGTATTTGTTATCGAATGGCATCGAATTTGCGAGTGAAGGTTGAATTGAAAGTGAAACACGATTTACAATACACGCACACACCTGAATATATAAATCCGTAACACACCAAAACAGGCGAGTCTTGTGCAAACATAACTTTTTCATCTAAATAACTATGTGTGTGCGCGTGTGTGTGTGTGTGTGTGCGTGTGCGAGTGTGTGTGTGCGTAGGCGTGTATTTATGATGTGAATTTGGAAGGTTTTCTTTTTTGACATATATAGTTTTTAAGGGGTATTGTTTTTTTTTTTTTGTAGCCATAGGATTAGACAGAACTTGTGCCTGTCTCTGTACAATTGAGATTACATAGAGCATGAATACTCTTCTTTTTTTTTTTTTTTTTTTTTTTTTTTTTGTTGTTGTTGGACTACGTGTACGAGTAGGGATTATGAATATAAATTTTATATATGGTTGAACTCACCTCTAGTCCCATTATATTTGGTAGGTTCGCACGTGTCACACACATGCGCGCCTTTTAGACTGTCTGATCTTAATTTTTTTTTTTTTTTTATACAGATTATTGAAATGTGTTATTATTATTTGGAGTACCTCGATGCTGCATGGAGTGGGGCGGGGGCAGCGCGTTATTGGGCTTGGCACAAAGCCAAAGAGAGAGTTGCGTGTGGCGCATCTTCAGCTAACTTGCATTTTCGATTAGTTACAATTGTTTGTTATGGTTTTTCTTAATTTGTTGATGTTGTTGTTGCTGTTCTTGTTGTTGTTGTTGTTGTTGTTGCTGCTGCTGCTTTTGTTGTTGCTGTTGTTCTTTATCAAGTTGTTGTTGTTTTAATAGCTTATGCTCTTTGCTGTTCTCATTGTTGTTGGTCGTAGTTGCTGCTGCTGTCCGTCCGTATTTGGTATCCTCCTAGTAGCGACTGCGACTGCGACTGCGACAATGCCGCTCTCGACTATCGTGGCGGTAATGATTGTGGCGACTGCGACTGCTGCCGCTGCTGCTGTGACTGCCGCTGCGCGAATACGAATGACCGTGATGCGATTTGTGGTGATCTGTACAAGAGACGGAACATTAGACAGGCAGTTAAATGCAAAGTCGGATGACTCAAAGTCGAACTGGCTCCGACTTTGGGCCGTGCGCAAACTTACGATGCCGCCGGTCCGATGATTGGCGATTGGGCGGATAGTCTCGACTGCGTTCCCGATAGTCACGCTGATCGCTGCACGAATTCGAGCACGATGAATGTATTGAAAAGAGAAGAAGAATATGTTAATGTTGTAATTCATATGCTAAGCTATTCATTCAAATATATATATATATATATGCACATCGTTTCCAAGTCGAGAGTGATCGCTGGACTTATATATATGTACATGTATATATATGTATATTTATACAACTAGGCTCTAAAAATTTCCAAGTAATCGGACAGTAAAGATCAAAGGCAAACGAGAATGAATCTCTCGCAGTTTCTGAAGCTATTTCGACATTTGTTGATGCATTTGTAAATGATAATCAGGCTGAATGAATTCAGTCGGATCAGAATTGTTTGCCTTACCGCCTATTGTCGTAGGTGTTGTGAAAGCGTTGGACACGATCATCGCGACGCCTTCGCTCCTCCTCCTCGTGCTCCTTTTGGCGTCGCTCGTTGATTTCGGTAACGGCATTGCGCAGCTTGGAATAGCCCAAATGCTGTTTGCCCATTAAATGATCCTCGATGCGCTGCTGTGCATCGCCAACAATAAGAAAGGCGCCGCATATTTCGCAGACCTTCATTTGCTTTTCGGGTAGCACTTCGTGCGACCAATTGGCCGCCGTTTTGGTATCTGTCTTCGTGTCCGACTTGCTGTCCTCGGACGCATTATTGATGCCAGCTGCTGTTGGCGATGCGCCGCCGCTAGTTGCTGCAGGTGCAGGTGCGCCTGCTACGGGCACTTCGATCGGTTCATTCGATTCGGTGCCGTCGCTGGCGATGGCATCGCCAATGCTGCCGGCTATATTGGGACTGGCCAGTGGCTGATCGTTGCTTGATATTTCGCCGGCGTTTGTTCCAAGCGTGGGCGTCGGCGTGGGCGTAGTCGATTGCGAAGGCGGCGCCGCACGAAGCTTATGATAGTTTTTGACTTGGGCCTCATACTGCTGCTGCACCGATTCCTTCTCCTCCTTCAGTTCTTCGCAGAGAGCCATCAGATCCTGGGCCTGATCAACATCGCCACGTATGCCCGCCTCCTCGGCCTCGGCGAGCAGCTTATTGATGCGCGCTGTCAGATTGCTCATGTGCTCCTGATGTTTGGCCGCATGCGACATTGTCCCAGACGGATTATCTCGCTGCATCAGCTGCAAGCGCTGTTTGCCCTTCTGTATCTTTCGATCCACATCGTGCAGCATCACATTGCAAAAGCGCAGAAACTCATCCTCCGTATGGCGCTTGCGCTGCGACGGTCGCGCCTCCTCGTACAGGTGTTTCGCCTCGTCATCGTGAATACGCGTGCAAGGACCAAGATCAGCTCGTGTATTGATAAACAGATCGTGCGGACAAAATTTCACATTGTAGAATTGACAAAACTGTGCAAAAGAAAACACATATAATATGTCGTTTATCTTTATAATAAGAACGAAAACTTGGCGGCGCAGGGCTCCATTCAAAATTCTTTCGGCTCAAAATATATGCAGTCCAGGGCTACACACGCGACACTTGTATGTTTTCAGTATAAATAAATAATATAAATAACAAGTCTGACTCTCTACCCCAACGGCAAGCTTTAGGCAGGGTTGTTGGTTCGAACCGTGAACCGTTTTTTGGTTTGGGTTTGTAGCCCTCGATTTGATTTGCAAAAAAAAAATAATTTACTTATAGCCTTAAATTAATGTGATTTTCGAGAGGGTATACAATTTTTAAATAGAATCCTTTTCGTTAGAAAAGTAGACAAAGCTCACCGCTAGGTCATTAAAAAATCTCAATGGCAAGCACTGGCTCAAAAAGGAAACAAAAGATTATTATTAGAGTGCAAGTACGTGCTTGGAAAAATCAGATAGTTGAGCAGAATGCTCTGTGAATTGGTCAAGAATTCAGTTGTAGCACAACAGAATAAAAACAAAGTTGCGTTGCCTGCAACTATTTGAAGATTGTGCGACAACTTTTTGCTTGTACTGTGCTTTGCCGGCAAGACTAGAGAAATGCAAATAAAATGGCCATAAAGTTATTCATTGCGAGCACTGCCAAGAAACGCGATTATATCACACAGAGCACATTTATGGCAGCCAGTTGGTGCTCAAGCTGGGACTTACCTCTGGATCCTCCCAGTTGACCGCTTGTCCAGCCTCCGAAGGATGCAAATTTCGATTGCGGCCCATTAGCTCATCGAGCATTTGTCGGGCAGCGTCCACCATTTTGGCTGTATGTGTGGTGCGCGCGATGTGCTTGCTTGTTTATGTGTGTGTGTGTGTGTGGGTGGATTGATGGCTGGCCCCAAGTCAATTGACAGTCGCAGCTGCTGTGCAAACGTAGTTGAGGTTATTCTGCCCTGTTAGCGCGCGTTCAGCAAATGTGTTCCATCCAGTCGGTCTAATTTAATATAATTCTTTAATGAAATTTCGGAATCAATAATTTCCTTGTCGCACTCAGCTCACACGCGTTAGCGATGGTAACTTACATAGAAACGCGATATCGATATGACAATGCGATAGTGTTGACAGCGTTGCCAGACTGCTACCGTCTGGCAATATTTTTGGCGCGCATTTATCGCTACATTTTTATAAATGTAATTTCACGTCAAGGCGAATATAAAACAAATAAAATATACATTTTACGAATATTAACATGCGTGCTACATTCATATACAAGTGCAAATAGCCCCTCGTGAATAATGTACCGATAGTCGCTCAACAATCGATAACTCACATGCCGCTACTGTCACTGCGAATTGTCAAAAAAGGCGCGAAAATTGGCACAAAAAAACACGCAACGGCGGCTAAGTAAATAGCATCAGTCAACACAACTTATTTTTGCGCGCTTACATTGTTTATTTGTTGGTTACGATTTGAACGAGATGGATGTTGCTGATGCACAAATCGGACAGCTGCGCGTCAAGGACGAGGTGGGCATACGCACCCAGAAGCTGTTCCAAGATTTTCTCGAGGAATTCAAAGAGGATGGCGAAATTAAGTATACACGTCCGGCAGCCAATCTAGAGTCGCCCGATCGCTGCACGCTAGAAGTTAGCTTCGAGGATGTGGAGAAATACGATCAGAATCTGGCGACGGCCATCATCGAGGAATACTATCATGTATATCCGTTTTTGTGCCAATCTGTCTCCAACTATGTGAAGGATCGCATTGGCTTGAAGACCAACAAGGATTGCTACGTTGCCTTTACGGAGGTGCCGACACGGCATAAAGTACGCGATCTGACCACCTCAAAGATTGGCACACTCATACGGATCTCTGGCCAGGTGGTGCGCACACATCCTGTCCATCCGGAGCTCGTGTCAGGAACATTCATGTGCCTCGATTGCCAGACGGAAATACGCAACGTTGAGCAGCAGTTTAAGTTCACCAATCCGACCATATGCCGGAATCCCGTATGCGCGAATCGTCGTCGCTTCATGTTGGACGTGGAGAAGTCGCTGTTCCTTGATTTCCAGAAGATACGCATACAGGAGACGCAGGCGGAGCTGCCGCGCGGCTGCATACCACGCGCCGTCGAGATAATATTGCGCTCCGAGCTGGTGGAAACGGTCCAGGCTGGCGATCGTTATGATTTCACGGGCACACTCATCGTGGTGCCGGACGTGAGCGTGCTGAGCATGCCGGGCACCAGGGCCGAAATGGGCTCCCGCCACAAGCCCGGCGAGGGCTCTGACGGCGTCACCGGCCTCAAGGCCCTCGGCGTCCGTGAGCTCAACTATCGGATGGCATTTCTGGCGTGCAGCGTACAGGCGACCACCGCCCGGTTCGGCGGCACTGATCTGCCCATGTCCGAGGTGACCGCCGAGGATATGAAGAAGCAGATGACCGATGCCGAATGGCAGAAAATCTATGAAATGTCCAAAGATCGTAATCTATACCAGAACCTGATCAGCAGCCTATTCCCCTCCATCTATGGCAACGATGAGGTGAAGCGCGGCATACTCCTGCAGCTGTTCGGCGGCGTGGCCAAGACAACAATGGAGAAGACCTCGCTGCGTGGCGATGTCAATGTGTGCATTGTCGGTGATCCGAGCACGGCCAAATCGCAGTTCCTCAAACAGGTCTCGGACTTCTCGCCGCGCGCCATTTACACCTCGGGCAAGGCCTCTTCGGCGGCCGGCCTGACCGCAGCCGTCGTCCGTGACGAGGAGAGCTTCGATTTTGTGATCGAGGCCGGCGCCCTGATGCTGGCGGACAACGGCATCTGCTGCATTGACGAGTTCGACAAGATGGATCTGCGCGATCAGGTGGCCATACACGAGGCCATGGAGCAGCAGACCATATCCATTGCTCGCGCCGGCGTCCGGGCCACTCTAAATGCACGCACCTCGATACTGGCCGCCGCCAATCCCATCAACGGACGCTACGATCGCTCCAAGAGTCTGCAGCAGAATATACAGCTGTCGGCGCCAATAATGTCCCGCTTTGATCTATTCTTCATCTTGGTGGATGAATGCAACGAGGTGGTCGACTATGCGATCGCCCGCAAGATCGTTGATCTACACTCGAACATTGAGGACTCCGTGGAGCGTGCGTATACGCGCGAGGAGGTGCTGCGCTATGTGACCTTTGCACGCCAGTTTAAGCCCATCATCGGCACAGAGGCTGGCAAAATGCTGGTGGAGAACTATGGCCATTTGCGGCAGCGCGACACGGGCTCGTCGGGACGCAGCACCTGGCGCATTACGGTGCGCCAGCTGGAGTCCATGATACGGCTGAGCGAGGCCATGGCCAAGCTGGAGTGCTCGAATCGTGTACAGGAGCGTCATGTCAAGGAGGCCTTCCGTTTGCTCAACAAATCAATTATACGGGTCGAACAGCCGGACATCCATCTGGATGATGACGATCATCTCGATGCGGACGATGGCATCGAGCATGACATCGATATGGAGAACAATGGTGCGGCTGCCAATGTGGATGGCGATGCCACCGCCGCCGCTGCATTGGATACATCCGGCCACGCCATGCAGAAGAAGAAGTTCACGTTATCATTTGAGGATTACAAGAATCTGTCGACAATGCTGGTGCTGCACATGCGCGGCGAGGAGGCGCGCTGCGAGGTCGAGGGCACCGATACGGGCATGAAGCGCAGCGATGTTGTTACCTGGTATCTGGAGCAGGTTGCCGAACAAATTGAATCCGAGGACGAGCTGATATCCCGCAAGAACCTCATCGAGAAGCTGATCGATCGTCTGATCTATCATGACCAGGTCATAATACCGCTGAAGACCTCCAATCTGAAGCCGTTCGCCAAGAGTCCCAAGGCCTCAGCTGTTGACGATGAGCTGGAAAACGATCCGCTTCTTGTCGTGCATCCCAATTACATAGTGGAGTAATCTTTGTCGTCTTTGTCTCTACGCTCATTTTTGCATTTCATTTCAGTTTAAGTTTGTGCGATTTTTTTTTTCCTACCAATTTTTAGGTTAGGTTTCATCTAGTTAATAAGCATATCGTAGATCTTAACTTATATTTAAGAATTAATTTTAGTTTTTAAATTATTCTGAAAATTAATTCAATTTCTTATATTTGAATATACTCTTCAGCTTTTTTATGCGATTAAAAGTAATTTTAAAAGATATTTTCAATGTTGAGGTTATGTTGTCAAAAATGAACAGATGTTCTTCAAAAACAGAATTTTTTTTTAAATAAAGCAACAGATAAAAACGAAATTTGGATTTTTGCAATGCATGGAAGGTCATAATATCAAATTTTAAAAACATTGGGGGAAAAAAATGTAACTAAGAATTGAACAATTCATCAAATCAGAGAAAAAACCGGTTCACCCAATGAAGCATTGGTTCAGGCCATGAACCAAAGCTTCACGACACTGTTTTTTTTGTTCGATTTGCAACACTGATTCTGAGTTGGTAGCAAGTAATTTGCAAGTCAATTTAATTTAGTTTTTCCTTTAATGGTACATATGCGCTGGTAAATTGCCCAATCAAGCATTGAGCGGAGCAAAACAGAAAGAAAGAAAAAAGTGTACAAACAATCCCAACTGGCGGTCCCTAACGCTCGAAGGTGTAGTGCTTGACGCCATCGGCGGGATACTGCTTGGCGGCCACTGGACGATACATTTTCTTGTCCTCGAGCCAATAGTAGAGCGCCAAGCAGCCGGTCATGACGCCCAAAAAGCACGTGAAGTAGTAGGCGCCGCTGTAGCGTGGAACATCCGGCTGTGAGTAGCGATCCTCGCTGTACAGATCGTGATCCGCTGATATCTGAAAGAGAGCAAAGAGCAGAGCAGAGCATTCAAATCTGTGCTTGGCATGCCTTAATTGTGACGCTTACGGGCTCGTTGAAGTTGCGCTTGTGTTCGGGATAGTCATAGGGATAATAATTATCCTTGTTCTCTATGCCAAGGCCACCGCCAACTTTGGGATAGTCGCCAAAGCCCAGACCGTTATCTGCGTATGGCTTGTACTCCTCGGGCAGTAGATAGTATTTCTTGGCAGCGGCCTCGCGTTCCTTGTCGGTTTTTGGATATGGACCGGGCTTGTAGTCCTTGTTCCAGCCGGCAACTGTAAATGGACAAATGCAAATTGTTTGAAACATCTCAAAAGTTACGTAAACAAAACAGAAACAGCAACAAAATCCACTTACGATTGCGGACAATGTGAGCCTGCAGAGCAGGATTGACGGCGTTCAGCTTCTTGGCCAGGCACAGAGATTTCATTAACGCTGACATTGTGTGGACGATGTTGTTAACTTCTTTTCAATTTACAATTTATTCACAACACTTCCAGCTCTCGCCTGGCAGCAATTCGGCAGGCAGCAGTCACAGCTGTTGCTTAGAGATGAGCGTTAGTGCTTGCGATATGTGTACAAACAGCTTTAACGATGGCCAGTCACGCAATATTTATATATTACCTTAGAATATATGAAATACTAATTTTCAAAAGAACATAAAATATCCATGCTTAAATTGGTTTTTGAAATAAAATAATATAAATTTACGAAAGGTGCGCAGCTCTATCAAATAGCTCAGTACGATGAATGCATCTATCGATATACAATTCCAAACATAATCATCGCCTATCGCACTTATTGTTTTTGTTGTGCTGCCTGCCTGGTCCCGCTAGTTGAGAGCGAGTGAAATATACGCGGCTTTATTTCTGTTTGCAATTGCTGTATTTAACTTGTTGTATATATTAAAAAGATGGTGCTACCGCTTTTGCAGCGCTCCACGCTTCGTGGCGTTCAACAGCTGACCAAGCCATGGGCGAGCGCAGCGTGCAGTCTTCGCATGGTAAGGAGATTTATCGTGTAATGTACGCTTATGTAATTTGCATTTCTATTCTGGCCCGCATTGCCGCTTTTGGCCAGCTTTTAAAGACAACATGCAAAGTTCATGAGCTGCAATCGGCAATAATCCTCTCTAAACGCACTCACACACATACCATATGCATATGTACCCATGCACTGCAGATACTTCCAATTGGCACCATTGCTGTGGCCATTGCCGGCATTTCATAATCAAGCATACCAAGCAAATATGGGGTGGTTATATGTGACGGATTCTGAAAATAGTTAAACCGTGCTAAAGAAGTGGCCCTTTCAGTTTGGTGACACGCCCACAATCGAAATGATTCCAACTAAAACGGCAAATACTTCAACAAGTTGTGCACTATTCCAATAAGAGGCATACATTTGCTTAGCGGAGCGTATCCACCACGGATCCAATTAGGCAATATGGCGATACAGAGAGATGTTCAAATCAAATTAGACTCATCCTTTTGCTTGGAATTGCGCCAATTTTACAATTGATTAAATGGATTTTCTGTGATTTTAAATTTATGTATTTGGCCAGAAAAAAGTGCAGTAATTTTTTGAAATTTTTGTATTACAATAATCTCTCGACAAAAAGCACTTCCGGTATTGATCGATCGTCGTTGTATGTAAATTTATATAGTCCTGCTTCAAAAATTCACATCCAGATTTAAAAAACAAAATACTATTAGAAATTAAAGTATTCAATTTACCTGATAATAATAATCGGTACATGTTAATTTCACATTAGCTGGCGTAAAATAGGTGGAAAATTAAATAGAAATTCAAATAAGAACTTTTGAATGGGTCAAACTATATAATATTTATCGTATCCAAATCTAAATCTGTAGGATATCCCTTGTGCATAGCTACCATAAGCGCTTTCTAGCAATGATTTTGTACAGGGTATTCGAGGTCGTCAACACACGAGCTTACCCTACACTCATGTAATATGTGTACATACATTATTTTGATTTCTCTACAAACGTATATATTTATATACATATATTCTTTTGTACCGATTTCACTGAGTTTGCGCAAAAACCGGCCCAGGTCAGCAAATATACACATACACACACACACACACACGGACATGAACACAATCATATTGGCAATTATTCAGGTTTTTTGACAATGCAAACCGGTTAATTAGATCTGACTGATGTTCTAATTGGAAGTTGGAAAAGGATTGTCGCACCGCCGTGTGAAATGTATTTAACCTTTCATTCACGCCGATTGGCAACCACTAACTACCGTTGCTCGTTAGTTGGGCGCATGCTGTGCTCTAATCTCTCCCACACGAACTGTTGTTGTTGTTGTTGTTGTTTTTTATTTTACTCGGTTGTCTTTAATTTAGCACTTGCTCGTGGCTTGTTTACATACAGCGGCATATAAAATGTAAAAGACTCGCGCACACACACATGTGCACAGATTAACGCGCGCACACACACACACACGCACACGCACACAAAGGCAGACTTTGCGCAGCCGAGAAGCAGAAAGCGCGCCCCGTGGGTCGCGAGTCTTGAGTTCGGCATTCCGGCACTTCGTATGCCCTGCAGGCGCAACAGCAATTGGTCAAAAATATGAAAGCTGCGAATATTTTGAATAAATTGTTACAAATGCGAAAAAGCAGCTAAAATACAATTTCTTGGAATGTGACAGGGTTGTCTGCAACCCTTTCTGAACCGGTTCGCTCAAGGAATTTCAATTTTGTTCCCACAGTGAACCGAATCAGTAGCTCAAAGAGCAGCAAAAACGGTTTGTTTACAATTATCTGTTGGATATTTTTGAAAAAATCACTAAACAAACTATATATTCGAGTCATCGGTGTCAAAATAAAGATTCATTTCAACCAATTCGATATCGATAAGTTGGATCGAAATGAAAGTCTGAAACGGGCCCAAATTCGATTTCGAAAAGCCAAATCGAAATAAAAGTCTGAAACAAAGCCCAATTTGATTTCGAAAAGCCAAATCAGAATTGAACTCAGGCGCGAATGTAGGGCGTCCGAGGGTCGGGCCGACGCCACCAACCAACATGCCGTACTTGTTGAGCCAGCTCTTGCGTCGGCATTTAGCTGTATTTTATGGCCCCGGCTCGCTCGACTTATCTGATTCGCCCGCCATTCACCCAACGGAGCCGCTGGCAATCGCAATCGAAATCATTTTCATAACGAGATTCTCAGTCAAACAGAATGGTCAGCATCAGTCACATAATATGAGTATATATATATAGATAATTTCATGTATGAAGGAGAGTCCTTTGTTATCGTTGACAGGCATCGCAGGACTTTCGCGTGGAGAGCGACACCTTTGGCGAACTGAAGGTGCCCGCCGACAAATACTATGGCGCCCAGACGATGCGCTCCCAGATTAACTTTCCCATTGGCGGTGCCACCGAACGCATGCCGGTAAGCATGATGAGCTGCCTGCCAATCATTGATCCTTATAGGAATCGATTGTTTTCGTATTGCAGAAACCGGTTGTCCAGGCCATGGGCATCCTGAAGAAGGCCGCCGCCGAGGTTAACAAAGAGTTTGGGCTCGACCAGAAGGTGAGCGAGGCCATCTCGAAGGCCGCCGACGATGTCATCTCCGGCAAGCTGTACGACGACCATTTCCCACTAGTCATCTGGCAGACTGGCTCCGGCACCCAGAGCAACATGAATGTGAACGAGGTATAAACCTGGGCCTGACCCTAACCAAGTCTCCAGTCTGTTTCATATGTTGTACTCATTGCGTTCCCTTGGGCAGGTCATCAGCAATCGTGCCATTGAGCTGATGGGCGGCAAGCTGGGCTCCAAGACGCCAGTGCATCCCAACGATCATGTGAACAAGTCGCAGAGCTCCAACGATACCTTCCCAACGGCCATACACATCTCGGTCGCACTGGAGCTGAACAACAATCTGAAGCCGGCGATCAAGACGCTGCACGATGCGCTCGCCGCCAAATCGAATGAGTTCAAGGACATCATCAAAATTGGCCGCACCCACACGATGGACGCGGTGCCATTGACACTCGGCCAGGAATTCGGCGGCTATGCCCAGCAGCTGGCCTACGCCCTGGAGCGCATCGATGCCTGCCTGCCACGCGTCTACGAGCTGGCGCTGGGCGGCACAGCCGTCGGCACCGGCCTCAATACGCGCAAAGGCTTCGCCGAGAAGTGCGCCGCCAAGATAGCCCAGCTGACGGGGCTGCCCTTCGTGACGGCGCCCAACAAATTCGAAGCTCTGGCCGCACGCGACGCCATGGTCGAGGTGCACGGCGTGCTGAACACCATTGCCGTCAGCCTGATGAAGATTGCCAACGATATACGCTTTTTGGGCTCGGGACCGCGCTGCGGTCTTGGTGAGCTCTCACTGCCAGAGAACGAGCCGGGCAGCTCCATAATGCCCGGCAAGGTGAATCCCACACAGTGCGAATCCCTCACAATGCTTTCCGCCCAGGTCATGGGTAACCAGGTCGCTGTCACAATCGGCGGCGCCAACGGACACTTCGAGCTGAACGTCTTCAAGCCATTGATTGTGTCCAATGTGCTGCGCTCCATACGCCTGCTCTGTAAGTACTCTCTTGCCACACTCTCGCAATCTCTCTTTCAACTGTTTGATTTGTCGATTTGCAGCCGATGGCAGCCGCACCTTTACGGCAAACTGCGTGAATGGCATTCAGGCCAACAAGGAGCGCATTGCCAAGATCATGAATGAGTCCCTGATGTTGGTCACCGCACTGAATCCGCACATTGGCTACGACAAGGCGGCCAAGATAGCCAAGACGGCGCACAAGAACGGCACCACGCTCAAGGAGGAGGCCATCAATCTGGGCTATTTGACGGAGCAGCAGTTCAACGATTGGGTGCGTCCCGAACAGATGCTGGGCCCCAAATAGACGCGCAACAACCGTTTGGGTAACAAGTCGGCCCTGCCTAAACCGTCTGGCTATCCAGTCTAGCTGATAACTATGTATCAAATTTGTTGTTCAGTTGAAAATAGCTGCCACAATAAAAAGCAACTCTTTGGAAATTAACTTTTCGTTCGAATCTCAAAATACGCGACAAAATTCGTTATTCTATTTTGTAGCAATAGGAATAAGCACTTGGTGAAGATGCTATGCACCCAGCAACCGTTAATGTTCCAGCCGTGCCAGATCCTGGCCAGCTTTCGGCGTGTCGGCACCTCGCTGTTGCTTCAGTGCAAAAAGGCGAACGGCGTGAGTGTTCCCATCGTACAGCACATAGCTGCCAGTTTTGATCCTACCCTTTGCAGGATGACAAATTTCGCGTGGAACGGGACACATTTGGCGAGCTTCAGGTGCCGTCCGACAAGTTGTACGGTGCGCAGACCATGCGCTCGGTTCTCAATTTTCCCATTGGCAGCATTGGCGAACGCATGCCGGTAACTATCCATCGGTGGCATGCTGTGACCTAACCGTATCCCAATCCCAATCCCAATCACAATTTCCGCAGAAACCCGTCATTCAGGCCATGGGCATACTGAAGAAGGCCTGTGCGGATGTTAACAAGGATTTTGGCATGGATGCCACGATAGCAGATGCCGTTTCCACTGCCTGTGATGAGGTCATTTCGGGCAAATATTATACCGAAGGTCACTTCCCGCTGGTCATCTGGCAGACGGGCTCCGGCACACAGACGAACATGAACGCCAACGAGGTCATCAGCAATGCGGCCATCAAGGCAATGGGCGGCGAACTGGGCTCCAAGAAGCCGGTGCATCCCAACGATCATGTGAACAAGTCGCAGAGCTCCAACGATACCTTTCCGGCAGCCATACACATCTCGGTCGGCCTGGAGCTGAACAATCGCCTGCTGCCCGCCATTTCGCAGCTGCGGGACGCTCTCGTCTGCAAATCGCTGGACTTCAAGGACATCATCAAAATCGGTCGCACCCATTTGATGGACGCAGTGCCCATGACACTCGGCCAGGAGTTCAGCGGCTATGCACAGCAGTTGTCCAATGCCATCGCACGCATCCAATCCTGCCTGCCGCACGTCTACGAGCTGGCCCTGGGCGGCACAGCCGTCGGCACCGGCCTCAACGCGCCAAAGGGCTTTGCCGAGAAGGTGTCGGCCCGCATCGCGGAGCTAACGTCCCTGCCGTTTGTGACGGCACCCAATTTCTTTGAAGCACTCGCTGCGCGCGACACCATGGTCGAGGTACACGGCGCGCTGAACACCATTGCCGTCAGCCTGATGAAGATTGCCAACGATATACGTTTTTTGGGCTCGGGACCGCGCTGCGGTCTCGGTGAACTCAAGTTGCCAGAGAACGAGCCGGGCAGCTCCATAATGCCCGGCAAGGTGAATCCCACACAGTGCGAATCTCTAACCATGATTTGTGCACAGGTCATGGGCAACCATGTGGCCGTGACAGTGGGCGGCGCCAATGGACACTTCGAGCTGAACGTGTTCAAGCCACTGATTGTTTCCAATGTGCTGCGATCCATACGCCTGCTCGGTGAGTAGTCAGCCAAATTGTAGGGCATCTGCAGTTGCATACACTCAAACCACGTATCCATTTGCAGCGGATGGCAGCGTCAACTTTAGCAAGAACTGTGTGAAGGGCATTGAGCCCAATAGTGAGCGTATTTCCAAGATCATGAATGAGTCCCTGATGTTGGTCACCGCACTGAATCCGCACATTGGCTATGACAAGGCGGCCAAGATAGCGAAGACGGCGCATGAGAATGGCACCACGCTCAAGGAGGAGGCCATCAAGGCTGGCGTTACCGAGGAGCAATTCAAGGAGTGGGTCGATCCCAAGAAGATGTTGGGTCCCAAATAAATGTGTCGATCACCTTGTGTACTTTCAAATCGACGATTTGAATAAACCTCATAAAGTTGCATCAGTGAAAGGCCTATCGATATATTTTAGTAACCTTACGATTAGCAAACAATCGATTAGTATCGATGTTAGTGCATGTTGCAGCTCTGCGCAACAAACTGACAGCTGTTTGTGTTTGTGAATTTCTCATTGTTTTTATTGTATAAATTGACGCAAAATCAAAGTCTGGTGCTAAAACAAATTACATTTCTGGCTCATTTCTGCTTTATTATTTAAAATTACGTTTTGCGAGCGGTTTTTGAGTGCTTAAAGTTGCAACTGTATGTGGTAGATGTGATTATCTAATTTCCTACCACAAACCCAACCGCAAAGAATCAACCATTAATAATATCGATGTATAACAAATTGTTAACAACGAAACGTACATGAAGTGAAAAAAAAAATCACACACGCACGAACAGTTTCACACACACACACACACACGCACACACTTAGTGGCAGCCGGAAAATCAATCAACGAGGCGAGTTAAATTTAAAAAATTATCAGTCCCTGACCATAGAACAAAATCGAAACTTCCATACACATTGTAAAAAAAATATTGAGAACAAGTTTGAAGACATTTTAATTTCGAAACCATTACCATATTGACTGTGTAGTTATGTGCATACGTATATATTTATAAATAAATATCAAAAATAAAAAAAACAAAAAACAACAGCAGTGACGACGGCTATTTCTACGACGCAATACCAAACAATCGTCAGTCGAGGCAGCCAACAATCGATATATCGATAGCCGACGATCACAACTGAAGCGCATGACAAAAGGTGGCGCCGCAGTCATAAACAGCGACAAGGACAACGAAAACGCAACGAAAGCGTAGGCTAGACAAAACAAAAAGGTAAGCGAATTGCAAATATGGCAAACAACTGGACTAAATCTCTCGCTCTCTCTCTCTTTCACTCCCTAGGCTTTTCGCTCCGTTACTGTTTATCGGTGCGGCTGTTGTTGGTCCGGGTTACAACAACAAATAAGCCCGAACTGCAGTTGGTAAAATGTCTGTAAGACTGTTGACCGTGCGACTAGTTAAACATGGTCGCTACGTTCTACGAAGCTATTGGAATCGTGAAATACACTCCAACATTTTGGAACAAAGCCATTTAAAGACACGAAGCAAGCGAGGCTTTCCCCTAACATCCGTCAATGTTCTGCGGGTGAGTGGATGCCCCTTAATTATGCTACGCATCACATTTGCCGTTTGTTAACTGTAAACAGCATACTGAGCACAAGTGCAAAAGAAATGGCCTAATTTACACCAGCAAGAGCGAGACAGCAATAGACCTGTTGCGCTCACGCACGCAAGTGCGAGTGAGTGACGAGATCTGGTTATCCTGAAATATCGAGTGTATTTAATTGTTGCAAATAAGCAGTTTTTCTATGTTTGATAGACTTTTTTTTTCAAGTACATAGAAACCAGAAGTCACGCAAAAATGAAACTTTGTAATCTTGTATAGAGAAATGTTGAAGGACTCACCCAAATTAGGCTATGGAAATCATAATCTAAAGTCTTATTTTGCATTTGAGCGATTTAGTCAGTCAATCAACCAATCAAACTGGATAAAAAGTTATACATTTAGAAATAAAGGAACAAAGGGAAAATAGCCTAGCCTAGCCTAACCTAATCAGTCAATCAGTCAGTCAGTCAGTCAATCAATCAGTTGAATGATATCAGATAAAGACGGTACATTCATAAATAGATTTGCTAACTAAAATCGTCGCAGTAAAAATTGACTGTGATTGAACCTGATTGAAGCTTGTGATGGAAAGGGTTATCAACTTGAGGTCTAGTTCAAGTTTACACTTTCATCTCAAAGGAAATCCAGCCCAGCTCTTAGGTTTTGGGCTATGCGTTAACATCAATCAGGCAGTCAGTCAATCGGTCCGTCAATCAGTCACTCAATCAGTTGAATAAGATCCGAAAAAGAGGACACATCTTTAAATAGATTTGCCAATCATTGCAATAAAAATACAAATGACTGTGATTGAGCATGATTGAGACTTGTGATTGAAAGGGTCAAGTATTTGAGGGCAAGTGTCATCGTAGCACAAATTGAATATGTCCATTAAAAACAGATCGGTTTATTATTTTGCAGAACACAGCCGCACCACAGCCGGCGGCTAATGTGTTGCCACGTTGCTGCCCGGCGTCGGCGGCGGCCAGCCCAGCGAACGGCGGACTCTTTCGGTTTGGACAGCATGCGCGCAAGCTGTTCATCGATAACATCTTGAGCCGTGTGACGACCAACTATTCGGAGGAGCTGCGTCAGCGTGCCACACGCAAGCTATTCTATGGCGATTCGGCGCCGTTTTTTGCACTAATCGGCGTCAGCTTGGCAACCGGATCGGGTGTGCTGAGCAAAGAGGACGAGCTGGAGGGCGTGTGCTGGGAGATACGCGAGGCGGCCAGTCGCCTGCAGGCGGCCTGGAACCATGACGAGATATCCGAAACGTTGACCAGCAATTTCAATATTGATCAACTGGAGGTGGGTCCGCCCATTGCCAAGGGCTGTGCGGCCGTTGTTTATGCGGCCAATTTCAAGGAGAATACCGCAACAGCACAAACACAAAGCACGCCCAGCGCCGCGAATACAGCACGTCCGAATGCGGCTGGCAACAAAGGCTCTACATGGAATCATCATGAGCTAATGTCACCGCTGCAAAATATGTCACGTTTTGTGCACAATTTTGGCGGCTCCGTTGACAACATCTACAGCTACAGTCAGCCAACGGCTGCCGCCGCCTTTGTCGATGGACTGGCAACAACTGGCGGCCCAACGGGGCAGCCCAAGGAGGAGCTTCGAACGGCAACCAGCGACTACACGCAGCAGCAACAGCAGCAGCAGGAGCAGCAGCAGCGGGAGCAGGAGCTGAATGCGACCGCATGTAGCTCCATTGAACGTTATCCACTTGCTTTAAAAATGATGTTCAACTATGATATACAGAGCAATGCGTTGTCCATATTGCGCGCCATGTACAAGGAGACGGTGCCGGCGCGTCAGCGACGGATGAATGCCAGCGCCGAGGAATGGGAACGCCTGCTGCAGCATCAGACATTGACGCTGCCGCCCCATCCGAATGTTGTCTGTATGTTTGGCTTCTTTTGTGATGAGGTGCGCAATTTTACCGATGGACATCTGCTCTATCCGATCGCTCAGCCGCAGCGCATCAATCCGCAGGGCTATGGCCGTAATATGTCGCTATATTTGCTAATGAAACGTTACGATTATAGTCTGCGCGGCCTGCTGGATACCAATGAGCTGAGCTCCCGCACCAAAATCCTGCTATTGGCCCAAATGCTCGAGGCGGTCACACATCTCAGTCGGCACGGTGTCGCGCATCGTGATCTTAAATCGGACAATGTGCTCATTGAACTGCAGCCGAATGATCAGTCGCCGCTGCTGGTGTTATCCGATTTCGGTTGCTGTCTGGCGGACAAGGTGCATGGCCTGCGTCTGCCGTATGCCGCCAATGATATTGATAAGGGCGGCAATGCGGCCTTAATGGCGCCAGAGATCTTTAATACACAGCCCGGTCCGTTTGCCGTGCTCAACTATAGCAAAGCGGATCTGTGGGCGTGCGGTGCATTGGCCTACGAGATCTTTGGCCAACCGAATCCCTTCTATTCGGCCAGCGGCGGCATGGCGCGCGCCCAGGGCGAGCTCACCTATTCGTTGAGAAACTGCGATTATCGGCACGAGCAGCTGCCGCCACTGTGCGATACATGTCCGCCGCTGTTGCAGCAGCTCATCTACAATATACTTAATCCGAATCCATCGAAGCGTGTCAGTCCCGATATTGCGGCAAATGTGCTGCAGCTCTTCCTTTGGGCGCCATCCAAATGGCTCAAGGCTGGCGGCATGCCCAACAGTCCCGAGGTGAGAGCCACAACAACAACAGCAATAAGAATATGATCTAATCTCTATAAATGTTAACTGCTTACAGATCCTGCAGTGGCTTCTCTCGCTGACCACCAAGATCATGTGCGAGGGCCGTCCACAGCCGGGCGGCAATGCCAGCAGCTGCCAGCCGTCGGGCGGACGGCATGCCTATGTTGAGTATTTGCTCATCTGCAGCTTCCTGGTGAGGGCGCGCCTCCGTCGCATCCGAGGCGCCTTGAATTGGATACAGAATGTGGTCGCCGCGTAGACCGACCATGCAAATGTTACGAGTGGACAGTTCTGGAGGGGGGCGTTTGGGCGTTGTTAACATCTTGTTATTCTGAGAGATAAAAGAAAAAAAAAAAAATGAAAATAGATTAAAGCGTGTGATAACTAAAATATATAGTATATATATCAACATATATATAACATATATATATATATATATATATATATTGTGTATATATATACATACATATTTTATAAAAATTACAAAATTAGCCGCATACTAAAAAACACAATGCATTTTTCATTTTTTGAACATTTATGAGGTGCTTGAACTATATAAACTTTTATTTGAGAAAAGTCTCATAATATGAATAATAACATTTTATATATCTTAGTGTGAGCGAAATTGAGTATCGACTCGTTTATGATTTTATATTGATTGATTAAATTCTGGATTCGTTCAGCTCTGGACTCTACCAGGCGATAGATAATGGAACAAATATATTGATTAATATGTGCATAAATAAATATTACGTGTATATATATATATATATATATGTATGTATATGTGTATATATTGACTATTTAAATGATGGTAGATCGGAGGCGCATCCCTTTGATAGGGCAGCATGTCGGCGTGCCGAATGCTCCAAAAAGTTTGCCTGATCTCCAAACTGAGATCCGCAGATATACATGTGTGCTCTGTCAGCTACAAAGGCAGATCTTACAGCTACTTATTTATAGGAACAATAAATCGTACATTACGTATTGATATCATATTTGAAATTTATACTAATATAATTGAGCTGTGTAACAGATTGTATATCTGGTTATTATGTGCGATTACGGATTTGAGAGCATATTTGAGCATTCTACGTGCATGTGTATAATTGAAATAAATGTGCATATTGTAGATTAGTTCAATGTGGCTGCGGTTATCATTTCCTGGACGACAGCCAGCAGGCCAATAACATCCTGGGTACTGTTTAAATAGGCATTGAGTGTATTGAAGTCCAGAATCTGCGCAGTGCACTCAACAAGGTACCATTGGAAATCCAGCTCTTTGACGGTAACGCTGCGTCCTTCGCCAAAATCGAACGTATAGAGTATATTCTGCTCTGCATCTTGATCCACCAACAGTTGGCAGCCAAATTGTTCGAATTTCTCCTTCAGTTCCGGCAACACGGCCAAAATATTTTTACCCTCTTCTAAAGCCGTAAACAATAAAATGCGAACGGTAAAACAGAAAACAGAAAACTAATATAAATAATAATGTGACGCACCGATTTCCTTAAACTCAGCCTGCAGCTTGCTTTGCTCAGCATGTATATACTCCAGGCCCAGGACCAGCTCGGACAGTTTGCCTTTGTATTCGTAGACAGTTTCGCTTGTGGTAAAATCAGATTTCCATTTGTCGATGGCGCCGCCAATCTCCTGCAGATAGTCGGACGTTTCGGTTATCAATTGCTGCATCTCATGCAGATCATTGGCAATTTGTGCCAATTTATTAGTCATGATTGCCATTTTTTTTTCTTTCACACACGAACGAATCCTGAAGGTGAAGTTCTTCCTTTTGTTCTTTTTTTTTGGAAACGCGCTACGTTCGATGACGACAGCACAGCGCAACTGGCCGATAAATTTCGATGCATGCGCGCACACGATACACACCACCAAAAGTTATCGATTTAGTATTTTTTTTTTTTTGAATACCTTCTGCGTTTGGACAAAACGGTATATAATTAAGGAATGCAAATGCAACGGCACATGCAACGTATTTTTTTTTGTTCAAAAAAGCATTTTCAACATTGCTGAAAAAGGCTGAAATGCAACTATATGCCATATGCAGTTGGAAGGGGGAGGGGGGGGGGGAAATAAATATTCGCGATGAGAGACAAACGAGGGGTGGTGCGGGGGGAATTTCAAATTTTGTGCTGTTGATATATTGTCCTCGACTGTCATTCACGTTGACATTTGAAGCAGACTGTCATTCGCTCTTTGTTGCCTGATGACATTCTCGCAGACCTGTCACCAATCATGTCATGGAAGATCCGTCAACGAAAGTCCAGCTGACAGCAGGACTTCAGTAGCATATCTGACAACTACCATAAAATATGTGCATCAAATCAAATATTTATATAAATATGTTTAGAGTAAGTGCAACTACCCGGCTTGAGATGCGAAACAAATCCAATTCACGTGAGTTACAAATGCTTATATATAGTTACATAGTATATAATATAATTGGGAAAGCATAGAGAAAATGTTATTTCCGTGAACAAGAATTTTGTTTGATTGGGTCAAAGACAACGTAGCTGACAAGTCATGCAGTGTGTCCTGCAGGACACCCAGCATGACAGGTCACCAAGAGGATCACACCTCGAATTTGGTGTCCACACTGCTGACGCACAGCTTGTGATCATAGAAGGAGCAGGTGGCCATGTGCAGCCTCTGGCCATGATCCAGCTGATCGATGCTTGGCGCCCAATCGGCGCCATAGCAAATGCTCGAGTGCTCCTCATAGGCGCCCAGCAGGCTGAGCGCCGAATCTCTCAGTTCCAGTACGCTAAAGTTTTTGTACATGCACGCGGCCAGGATCAGATCGCTGCGCCGCGGATGCGGCTTGAGCCGCCAAATGCCGCCGTTCAGATTCAGTTCGGCGAGACTGCGCTTCATGGCGCGCGTATCGAACAGACGCAACAGCTCGTCATAGCTGCCGGTGAGCAGCTGGTGCTCCCGCTCCGGATGGCTGAGCAGGCAGGTGACGCCGGCGCCATGCGCCCTATTTGTCCAGATGCGCTCCGGCTGCTCCGAGCTGCCGCTGCGCAAATCGTAGGCGTGCAACAGGCAGTCATCGCCGCCGCTATAGATGCGCTGCGGCGTCCAGCGATCGTAGGCACACGTCCATGCCTCAAAGCCGTGCGCCTGCCAGGCGCACAGCTGGCTCAGCTGAGCCTGCGCCGTGTACTGCAGCTGATGGACTTGGCCCAGCGAGTCGGAGACGAGCAGCTGCAGGCCAGCGCCGTCGGCAGCACGCCGCCAGTCGAGAGCCAGCGCCAGCGCTGGCTGCGTATTCCCCGCCAGCGTCAGTTGGGCGCGCTGCTGCAGTTGCTGCTTCGCGTGCAGCTCGTAGATCTCCAGCTGGCCCAAGGCGTTGACTGTGGCCAGCTGCGGTCCGGTGTCGTCGCACCAGGCGGGCAGCCATTTCATGTCCAATATGGCAGCCGTGTCGATGCACTGCAGCCGTTCCAGCGCGCCCGTCTGCCTTGCGAACGCATACAAATAGATGCGACCCTTGCGCGACGAGTTCTGCTCGCCCTCCATCAGCTGATATGTGCCGCAGGCAAAGTAATCCGCATGCTGTTCATCCTGGGTGCACCATTCGATCGCATCCGCCGAGTACTCGGTGTCCACGCTGTGCAGCGTCTTGAACAGCATGGTTGCAATGAGAACAGCAACAAAAAATCCCACAAAAAGAGACGACTTTGCTCGCTCTGGTCACACAGTGTTCAACAGTTAGTTATCGATTGGCAGAATGTTCTCTTAATGCGCTCTTATTAGATTTATTTTGTTTTTGCTACTTTTAAAAAATTAATACGTACTTTCTACTTAGTGCTCGTTTTTTTTTCGTTTTTTTTTTGTTTTTTTTTTGTTATGGGCTACAAATTGTTATTATGAATTATTTAGGCTTAGTTGTTCATTTTAGTTTTTCCGTTTTCTTTTCTTGTTTGGTTGCTTAATACATTACATAAAAAATGGTTAAGCGGTCAATTGTTGACGGACCGTTACACTTTCAAAAATTCAAAAAAGTTACAATTTCTATAACCTATTTTAGATGCGCAAATACATGTTCATACATATTTTTTTTTCTCATCTCTTTTGTGTTCTTTTGTTGTTGTATTTTTCTTCTTCTTCTCCTAGCTGAAAACTTAATGCATGCGCGTGTATGTGTATATATATGTATGTGTCTGTGTTGCTTGCATTGTGTCGGTGCGTTTTGTTACGTTTCGTTTCTTACACTGTTCCGTTAGTTTTCTTGAAATTTTGTTGCTTTTGTTTTTGTTTTTGTTTTTGGTTGGCCATCATCGTACATGATGGATATGATGGCTTGCTTGCTTTATACATATTCAGCTGTATGTACAATATGTTATTGCACTCTCTCTCTCTCTCTCTCTCTCTCTCTCTCTGTTTTTAATAGCTATTGCACTATCCTTAAAGTACGCATACAAGTTTAAACAGTTATGTTCATTTAAATCGAGAAAAAAAAAAAAAAACATTATAAGACAAATGTAAACACAAATACAATACACACACATATATATATGTGCATACATATAAATATATAGCAGTTGCATATTTGTATATAATTAGTTGTATATGTATATATATTATATGTATATATACATATTTTTAGTTTAGCAATTAAAAATAGAACGCGCGCGCCTTAAGGATATCATTATTTCTTTTCGTTTTTCTCTATGCATTCTCGCGCTCTTCGCTCGCTCTCGCTCTCGCTCTCTTCTGCTCTCACTTTGTACAAAACGCGTTCAATACACAGAAATATTCTATATATGTATATGCTACAAGAAATGTGGATGTGGATGTGTGTGTGAATGACAGGGGGTGGGGTGGGGGTGTGGGTGGTGACAATATGTGTTGTTGACCAGACGAGATTTTTTTTTGTGTTTTTTTTTTTTTCGTTGCCATCCAACAATTTTCTGCACGCTGCAGCGCGCGTTCAGCGCCAACAATAGCCCCAAGCACAGCCAGATAGATATGCATATGTGTCCATATATCTATATATATATATATGTGTATGTGTGTGTGTGTGTGTGTGTGTGTATAGAGCGATATCTATATATGCATAGATATGGAGACATATATGCATGTAGTCTAGCTATTTGTGGGCCCACCGTGGCGCTTTCGCGATACTCATTTGGTTTTCATAACAATTATCGGTTCGAGTATCTTAAGCATATCATTATTCTCGGGTGCGCCGCTGCCGCTGCCCGCGTTAGCGCCGGCCGCGGCAGAGGCCTGCAGCTTGCTGTAGCCCTGCTGATGCTGCCCGAGGCTGACCAATCGCTGCTGCTGCTGCTGCTGCTGTTGCTGCTGTTGATTGATGACAATTGTGTCGTGATGCGGCTGCTGCTGCTGCTGCTGCTGAAGGGTGCCCGCCATTTGGTGTAGCTCGTGCTGCTGCTGCTGCAGCTGCTGCTGCAGATGGAGGGCGGCGAGCTGCTGATCGTTGGATCCGTCGCCGTCTAGCTGTGAATCTGTTTTAACAACAAAGCTGTCGTTGCCGCTGCCGCCGCCGACGACAACGCCGCCGCCGCCGCCGCCGCCGCCGCCGCCGTCCGTGTCATTGTCGTAGAGCTGTTCGGTTGTCTCCTCCTCATCCTCCTCCTCGGTTTTGGCATGGAACTCGGCGCTGGCGCTGCTGCTTGTGCGCGGCGTATGGCTGCGCATGCGTCGCAGTCGTGCATATTCGGCCTGCTTGGAGAGGCGTTCCTTGCGCTCCTCCGTGTTCTCGGTGGCACGGATTTGGGCGCGTTTGAGACGCGCCCGTTCGCTCAGCTTTTGCAGTCGGACCGTCCGCTGCTCGGGCGATTCATTGGCCCGCACCGCACGCTGATGTGCCGCCATTTTGTCCAATCTAATGCGCTTCTCCTCCTCCGTTTCGTATTTGTTGGCGCCGCTGCGGCGCGGCGTTGTTAGCGGCGACGGCGGCACAACGCCATCGCCATCGGCCGTGGAATGTGCATGTATGTTGTGACCATGCTCAAGCGACTGGCCGCGTCCGCCGCGTCGCTGGCCCATGCCGCTGCCCGCCAGCATTTGGTTGAGCTCCTGTTCGAGCAGCGTGTTCGCCTTCAAATGCTCCTCGTTGGCGCTCAATAGGCTAATCTTGCGCGGACGACCACGTCCCATTTTCGGAAACTCCTGCAACAGCTGCTGCTGCTGCTGCTGCTGTTGTTGCTGCTGCTGTTGCTGCTGCTGTTGTTGCTGTTGCGGCTGCGGCGCCGCCTGCTCCAATCCGACTGTGAGCGTGGCATTGCCGCCCGCCGATGTCGTCAGTATATTGTACTGGCCGGATGCAGTTGGGCTGCTGCCGCCGCTGGCGTTCGCAAAGTGTACGGGCGTGAATGGCGGCGGCACCGTATTCGGTCCGATGCCCAGCTGGAAGCCATTGTGATACATGGGATAGTAGGCGGTTGTGGCGCTGCCCGTCACTCCGTTGGCGGTGCCGCTGGCGCCCGTAACGGTAACTGTGCCCGCGCTGCTCGTACCGCTGCTATTGGCCGTGCCCGGGAACGTGGCCAAGTATGGCAGCTGATTGTAGAGCTGCTGTGTGGTTGTTGTTGTTGCCGCCGCACCGGCACCGCCTCCAGCCGTTGCCTGTCCCGCCTTTAGTAACTTCTGCTGCTGTTGCTCCGCGGCGGCCACAATCACCTTGGCCTCGTTCTGGGCCAGAGTAACAGACCCGCTGTTATCGTTCGCCTCGCCGGACTGTCAAAGTGTTAAATGAAAAAAAAACAAAAAAAAAAAAAAAGAGGTAGAAAGCAAAACAACAATGTGAGGTTATGTCCGCTGCGGCAGTTGAGGTTATGTTCAGCGAGTGCGCTCCAGTCGGGCGTAGCCGACCAGCAGATATCCTAGCTGTCATTTATACAGCCTCGCCAGCTTCTCCTTCTCTATCGATCTATAAGATTTTAAGTTTAAAAATATTGTTTTCTTACGTTTAAAGTGAAGCTCTTAAAACTCCGTCATATGCCCCATCGATATTTATCGATTTCGTAAAAGAACGAGCTAAGCTAACGATTCTTTCGATTAATCTAAAAATCTTCCCCTTTCCATTGAACGAAATAAAACTTTCTGTTTACAAATATTTGCTGTTTTTTTGCTTGTCTTTCTAAAAACTAAAATACCCTGTATCTGCGCATGCTCTAGGGTAGCCTAGCTTCGCCGGAATATCGATACTTATCGATTTCGTAAAAAAAAACGTTACGTTTATTTCGATTTAACTCAATGTGCACGCGCTCCTTCAGTACAGAGAGAGAGAGAGAGAGTGTGGGCCTTTTGCCTATAACATATACATTATATATAATATCCCCCCCTTCTTGTTTTTTACCCATTTTCTAAGAGTTCGGGGTACTCAATCGACATAAAAAAAAACAATTTGCTTCTTTCTATGTGCGAGGCCTTATTAAGTTGGCTGCGCCAGCTTTAAATAAAAAATAATGTCGCACATGTCAATACCCTACACGTTTTTATATTGTAAAATCTATCTAGTTCTTGAGAAATATGAGAATAGGGATTCGGACGTCTAGTACTAAACTTCAGTTAATTCATAATATTTTGTTATTTCTTTTGACTGAATAATTCGAAATAATTAAAAATGTAATTAAATTAATTAATTAAATTAAAATAAGAGCTATATGTATTCCTCATATATGAATAAGCTCAAAAATGGGAAAACTTAAAACAAACTAAAAGCGACTTTTTTTTTGTAAAACCAAATTTTGAGTTTTTTTTTTTTTTTTGGCAACATTTTTATTAAACTTGAAACAAACAAAGAAATTTGAAAGCTCATTGAAAAAGTTGATCAAGTATTTCGGACAGCAGCTAAAGAATTACCCTAGCAATTTTTGTTGTTCACGCAAGCGGGCTTTCACTGTAGCTACAGATCTTTAAGAAAACTTGAAACAAGGGAACGAAACGAAATGAAATGGAACAAAAAGGAAAAGGAATAAAGCTTTGGCTTGAGCGTGGCTTCTTCTTCTGCTGTAGACTTCTACTCTGGCTCTCTCTCTTTCTCTCTCACATTCTTCTTTTCACTCTTACACAAAACGAAGGGCAGGGAACAAAACGAAATGGAACAATAAAGTCAAGAGAAAGAGGGGCAAAAACTATGGCAAAAACTTGGCATCTACTGCTTCTTTAGACTTCTATTCTGGCTGTCTCTCTCTCTTTCTCTCTTTCACTCTCAGATGAAACGCAGGGGAACAAAACGAAATGGAACAATAAAGTCAAGGGAAAGAGGGGCAAACATTTTGGCCTGAGCTTGGCTTCTGCTGCGTCTCTGGACTTCTACTCTGGCTGTCTCTCTCTTTCTCGCTCTCTCTCTCTCTTTCACTCTCAGATGAAACGCAGGGGAACAAAAGGAAATGGAACAATAAATTCAAGGGAAAGAGGGCAAAAACTTTGGCCTTAGCTTGGCTTCTGCTTCTTCTTCCTCTTCAGACTTCTACTCTGGCTGTCTCTCTCTTTCTCGCTTTCTCGCTCTCTCCCTCTCTCTTTCACTCTCAGATGAAACGCAGGGAAACAAAAGGAAATGGAACAATAAAGTCAAGGGAAAGAGGTGCAAAAACTTGGCTTCTGCTGCTTCTCTACACTTCTATTCTGGCTGTCTCCCCCCCCCCCCTCTCCCACCCTCTCTCTCTCGCTCTCTTCGTCTCGTGTGTGATTTGGCTGTTTAACGCGGCCGCACCTGGCTCTGCCTACGGCTGCATACGCACCTGTAGTTCCACCATATTCGCATACTTCTGCTTGTACAACTCGAGCTGATTGGCAATGTTAAAGTGCGGAACATGGGCCTGCAGCAATTTACCGGCTTTGCCCGGCTCCTCGCCGTAGATCTGTTGCACGAATATGCTGCCCGCCTCGGCAACGCCGCTGCCGCCGGCAACTCCATCGATCAGCTGCTGGGCGCCCAGCGAATACCGCGGCTGCTGCTGTTGCTGCAATTGCTGCTGCTGCTGCTGCTGCTGCTGTTGCGGCTCCTGCTTCAGCTGCATGGTGGGACGCAGCGTGCCGGGCGTGATGAACATGTTCTGGCCCATATACTCGATGGCCTGATGCTGTTGATAGGCGGACGCTGGTGCTGCTGTCACCAGATGCTGTTGCTCCTCGCCGGCGGCAATTGTTGCTCCTGTTGCCGCAGCAGCTGCTGCTGCTGCTGCTGCTGTTGTGTTGTTGCTGCTGTTGTTGTTGCTGCTGTTGCTGCTGTTGGCAGCCGCTGAGTTGACGTTTGCCTGATTTAAATTAATATTATGCTCATTATTACAATTGGCTGTGCCAGCTACGTTCGCAGCGGCGGCGGCGGCGGCAGCAGCTGCTGTTGCCACGGCAAGCACCTGCTGCTGCTGCTGCTGCTGCTGCTGTTGTTGTTGTTGCTGTTGTTGTTGTTGTTGTTGCTGCTGCTGCTGCTGTTGCTGCTGCTGCGCGGTCAGTGTGTTTGAATTGGTCGAATTAGTCGATGAAGACGACGACGAATTCTGCGGCACGCCTGCATGCACTTGCACCTGCACCTGCACCTGTTTGTATATCTTTTTCTTTTCTCTGACCTTTTTCGCATAGTCGTTCAGCTTTCTCAGTCTTTCCTTGCGCTCCTCCACGGACTCGCTGGCGATGCGCTGGCGCGCACGCGCCGCCATCTCGGCCAGTCGTATCTTTCGCTGATCGGCCGTCTCGCTGGCCCGATACATGCGCATCCGTTCCGCCAGCTTGGCCAGACGCTTCGCCCGCTGCTCGGGTGACTCCATTGCGCGCCGCAGACGCTGGCGCGCCGCATTGCGGACCAGACGCATCGCACGCTCCAGATCGGATTCGTTTTGACGTCGCTGTCGATTTGCTTCCGCGTTGCGCAACAAACGCTTTCGGTACTCGTCTTCGCTTTCACGCTGTCGCCTCTCCCGCATCCTTTCAGCATTGCGGGCCAAACGGCGTTGACGTGCCTCCGGACTCTCGTTCCACCTTTGCTGGTGCTGATGATGTTGCTGTTGCTGCTGCTGCTGTTGTTGCTGCTGTTGTTGTTGCTGCTGTGTGTTGGCTGATACGTTGCTAACGCTGGAGGCGGGTCCCAGCGGCGTGGGCGGTGGCTGTTGCTTTAAGGAGAGCGGCTGTGTGTAAGCGGGCAATGTTATTTGCAATTGTTGCTGATGAAATTGTTGCTGTTGTAGATGATGTTGCTGCTGTTGCTGCTGTGGCTGATGCTGCTGTTGCTGAAACTGCTGCTGCTGTTGCTGCTGCTGTTGCAGTTGCAACTGTTGCTGCTGATGTGTCGACAATGGTACCAACAGCGCTGACGGATGCTCGATAAGTAGGCGCGCATTGGGACCATTTATTGCCAGCACATGTGTTGCGTATTGCTGTTGCTGTTGTTGCTGCTGCTGCTGCTGTTGCTGTTGCTGCTGATGTTGGTGATGGTCAAGTGTTGGCTCTATCTTTATCCCATTGGGATCTGGTTCCATTATTTTGCAAAGCCTGAACAACAATCGAAATTGTCGTCAAATTGTTGTTGCTGCTGCTGCTGCTTGATCGATTCTTGTTGTTGTTGTTGTTGTTGTTGTTGTCAACAAACAGCGATACGCGTATCTCCGTCCTGTTGATGATATCGATAACTTTTGTTGTTGCTGTTGCTGTTGCTGCTCGGTCGACAATAACGTTGGCGTTTTGATCGCCGCATTTAACAGCCGTTCTCGTTTTGCTTGCGTTTGCGTTGTTTTGCGTTTTTGTTTTGTTTTGTTTTGTTTGCTGCTTCGCAATTCGGTTCGTTGTTATATAAAGAAATTGCGCTCAATTATCGTTATCGTTAATCGCTATCGCTCTGCACGTACATGCATACATGCATATATGTTTCACGCGCGCGTGTGTGTGTGTGTGTGTCTCTCCCTCTTCTTTTTTTTTTTTTTTTTTTTTTGTTTTGTGCGTTTTCGTTTTAACAACTTTTGGCTGCTGCTGCTGCTTCTCTCTCTCTCTCTCTCTCTCTCTCTGTCTCACACACACACTCTCAAGCTGTCGCTCTCGCAATCGGTGTGACTGTTGGTTGCCGTTTCGGTTTCTGTTTTGCGCATCACCTTTTTTTTTTTTTGTCCTCTTTTCCTCTTTCGCTTGTCAATCAATTTGCAATATGCTTCTAAATGTCGATCGCTGCCTCAGCTATTTCTCCGGGCTGCCCAGCTCTTGCTCTTCTCGCGCCGCCTGCACATGCAAATGCAATAATAATAATAATAATAATAATAATAATGAATAGTCAGATAAGGGAATGAATAGAATAGGAACTAAATATTCATACGGCTGGCAACAACAAATGGCATTCAAAACGTACGGTTTGTGTCTCAGCTAAACGAAATTGCGCACCTTTCACCAGACTCAGCGCAAATGTTGCTTTGCGCGTTTTTTTTTTAAATGTTAATTGTGCAAAAATGTGCCGTTGCGTGTTTGCTTTATTTTCGTTTTAAATCGGTTTACTCTTTTCTATTTTCTTCTTTCGTTTCTTTTCTTTTCTCTCTTTTTGGTGGCTACTTTTGGTGCGTGCGCACGTTTCTTCTTCTTGCTTGATAGTAAATGACAATTGGCGCCGCCACCGCTGCCGCTGTGCCGTTCCAATGCTTCCAGTGCCTTCCAATCGATTTTTCACATGATTATATGTACACACACACACACGCACACTGAATGCCTGGCTGGCTCGCACACACACACACACACACGGAGCTAAAGCAAACGGCGGCCTCTATATATACAGACGCACACGTATGTCTGTCTGTATTTGTATATGTATGTAGCACACACATACATACATACAATGTCTTTTATAAATATTTTGAAGCGTTCTAGCCACAATTGTTGCATCAGTTACAGTTTATTTATTTGCCTAACACTTTGCCGCCTCAACTTGTCGGCATTTGTGAAACGCAGCACATACGCACACACACACACTCACACACACACACACACACACATACATTTGAGTTAAATGTGTTCACCGTATGCATATTATCATATATGCGCACATATACACGCATGCATATACATATACAACAATATTTAGTTTCCCATATTTCGGCATTTGATTTCACAATTGTTCAATTTTTGTTATATCGTTTGCGTTTTGGTATGCTGCTCAATTGTTTTGTGAAATGCGGTTTGTTATCGTTCGTATGTTACCAAAAAAAAAAAAAAAACGCGCTAAATTTTCCGGCAAGCAAAATGCTCGGCCGTTTTCTGTACCAACGCACACAACAACACGTTAAAAAATAAATACAACTGGAATATTGGAAACTGGTTGTGTAGGTGTGTGTATGTATACATGTAGCATCAGCAGCGATAAGCGCGACTGCTCACGTCCGATAACTATCGGCCAATACAATTTGCGCGCAATTCCGATAGGCAACGGTGAATCGCACCGATAATTGGCGCGCAAATTCAAATTCAATCACAACAACATCGATTCACAATAACAAATCGCCAAAAATGCCGTGCATAATTCATTGAAAATGCATATTTCATTTAAAAATTGTGAATGCAACTTTATTCAAGTATTCATTTTGTTTTTCGTTTGCTTCTTGTGTTGGTTTTTGCTTTTGTTTTTTTTTTCTCTCATGTTTAAGTGTGTTGTTGTTGTTGTTGTTGTTGTTGGTTTTTAGTGTACATAGAATATTACAATTACATAAAATGTATTTCATATAATTTTACATCAAAACAATTTTGCGTGTAAGGCGGTAGGGAGGGGGGGCGGGGCGGCTCGTTAAAAGAGTAAGAAGAATAAGAAAAAAAAAAAACAATTTGAAATTTCGACTAGAACTTAAGTGGTACGTTTAATATATAATTTATATATATATATAGATATATATTTACTTTTTGCATTTTCATTTTATTTAATTGTTTTTTTTTTTATTTTTTGTTTAAGTTTTTGTTAATTTGCTCAGTTGTAAATTTTTAGAGGGTGCGTTCATTTTTTTTGTTGTTGATTTTTTTAGATATTTTTTTTGCTTTTCGTTTATTCGCAAAAGTATTGGGCGCTGTGCAGTATGGTGAAGGGAGAGAGGGGCGGGGCGGGGGGCGGGGCTGCGCTTGGAGGCGTTCAATGTTGCTATAACAATATGCCATGTACATGTATGTATGCATGTGTGTATATAGATGTGTGTGTGCATGTGTGTGTGTGTGTGTGTGTAGACATACTCGTGTGTGAATTGCTGCTATTCATGTGAGGGCAGCACACGCACACGCGCGCGCACACACACATACATGACCCCCCCCCCCCCCGTCCCGCCGACCCCTTTGTATACAGGGGTGTTGCTTGTTTTGGACCAAGGGTTAAAAATGCGTTTGAAATTTGTTTTAAATTGTCTTTTTCTAAATTTTGTTGCCAAAAATAAAACGTGACCAGGCAGCGCAGCTTGCAAATTTGACCGAAAGATGTCGCACCTGTTGCAGCGGCAAATAAAAGCAAAGACAAAGGCAAAGGCAAAAGCAAAACAAACGAAAAAAAGAAAAATGCTTATTGGAAGTGGGCAATACAGTTAGAAGACGATATTGGCTGCAAAATTCTTTGCACTGAGTCACCCTGTATGCGGCGCACATATATGCACACGTGTGGGCGTGTGGGCGTGGGCATGGCCGTGTGTGTGCGTGTGTGTGTGTGTGCATATGGGGTTGAAGTTAATTTTTTGCTTTTTGGGGTTTCTCGCGCTGTGCTGCTGCTGCTGCTTCTTCTTCTTGCGCCACATGTGTGTATCTCGTGTGTGAGTGCGCGCGCGTGTATGTGTGCATGTGTGTGTGTGCGTGTGCGTGTGAGGCGTGCATACATTTACACATGACTGCGCGCGCGTGTATGTGTGTGTGTGTGTGTATCTATATATTATTCTGCGTGTTGTATATATATATATATATATAACTACATATATATATATTTATATATTGTAAGAATATAATGCATGCATTATAAAAATACTTTTTTTTTTTTTTTTTTTTTTTTTGTTTGTGTTTTCTTTTTGTTTTTCTTTTACTTCATCTTTGTTAATGTTAACTTAAAAAAAAAATTCTCGACACTTTTTTTTCTTCTGTTAGCTACCAAAAAAAAAAAAAAGTGCCTCCTTTTATCCATATTATTATTATTATTATTATTATTATTGTTGTTATTGTTGTTATTGTTGTTGTTGTTTATGTTTTATCATTTTACTCTTTGTTATTATTTGCTTTACTTATTTGTTGTTGTTGCTGTTTTCTTTACATATTTCTATGCAAATGTTATATGTTGCTTCTTTTGTTTTATGTATACAATATATATTATTTATAGCTGTATTTTTTTTTTGTTTTTTGTTTTTTTTTGTTATCTTTTAATTTCCTTCTCTTTCACACACATATGCTGCTTCTTCTACTGGCCATGCTGCTGCTGCTGCTTCTTCTTCTTCTTCTATGGCTTTCTTCTTGCGGTGCTGTGTATGCTTCCAGTTTTCTGATTAGATATCATCTGATTAGATTCCGTGTGTTGTATTGTTATGGGCGTGTGTGTCAGTGTATTGTATTGGTCTGTACCTTTGTTGTTACTGTGTGTGTGTGTGTGTGTGTGTGTGTGTGTGAGTGTGTGTGGATGCACTTTACTTGCTGAAGCCCGCTTCAGAAGCTTCCAATTGCGCTCTGATTGGATTCGGCTCAAGGCGTGCACATGTAAATGGCCTGTCGTCCGTCTGTCTGTCTATCCGTGCGTGTGTATGGGTGTTGTCTGATTGGATTCCGCCTGCTGCTGCTGCTGCTGCTGGTGCTGCTGCTGCTCCTTAGTAACCCTTGAGGCGATCCTCGAGCGGCGGCTTGATCACCTTGGGAGCACTCGCCCGCGAGACGCGCATCCGCTCGGCCGCCTTGGCCAGTCGCTTTTTGCGCTCATCGTTCGATTCGCTGGCGCGTCGCAGTCGCTGGCGGGCGGCGTTCTTCATCAGTCTTAGGGTTCTTTGTACTTCGTTTTCGTTTTGGCGTCGGACGCGGTTCGCCTCGGCGTTTTTGGCCAGCCGCAGACGATACTCGGCCTCCGATTCTTTGCTGCGCTTATCTCGCATTCTCGCCGCGTTCCGTTCCAGACGTCGTTCCCGTGCCTCGACAGATTCGTTGCTGCGCCGACGCGCCGCCTTCTGTGCCCGCGACGATTGATGACCGAGGGCGACGCCGGTGACAACGATGCCGGTGGATAAATGTTGGTGCAGGGGATGCGGCGCCTGTGGATGTTGTTGTTGCTGTTGTTGTTGCTGTTGTTGCTGCTGTTGTTGCTGCTGTTGTTGTGTATGCTGCGGATGTTGCGTATGCTGTTGTTGTTGTTGCTGCTGCTGCTGCGGATGTTGTTGCGGATGTGGCTGGAAGCTGTTCTCACTGTTGCTGCTTGCGTTGGCGTTGGCGTTAGCGTTACTGTTGTTGTTGTTGTTGTTGCTGTTGCTGTTGTTGCTAGCACTGTTATTGTTGTTGCTGTTACTGGCACTGTTATTGTTATTGCTGCTGTTGCTGTTACTACTAACGGCGGCAGCGGCTGCAGCAGCGACTGCAGCAGCGGCACCTGTACTCGCACTGGCCGCAGCAGCGGCGGCAACTGTTGTCGTATAACTGTTATACTCTATGAGGCCCCTGTTGCTCGGATAGAGATGGTGCATGGGATTCTCATAGTTGAGATATTCCGGTTTGATGAAGAACGGATCGCGGGCGGTTAGCGGCGCCGTTGGCGAATTAAGAAAATATAAACGGCTATGATGATCTGTGGTTATGCTACCTCCGCCGCCACCCACACCCGCGGACATCGAGGGTGTTTTTCTGTGTATCGCTGGGTCGCGATTTATGCGAAAATGGCGCCTAACGTTTGCTTCTTGTTGTTTTTGTTCTTCTTCTTCTTCGTCTTCGTCTTCTGCTGCTCTCTCTCTCTCTCTTTCTCTCTCACTCTCTCTAGTTCGTTTGCTTCGCTTTATTAATTTTATTCTTTTTACTTTTTTGCTTTCGTTTTTTCGTTTTTATATTTTTTGCGTAATTTTTCGCGCAATTTGCCGCGTTGTTTGCAAAACACAACACACACAATTTAACTGACCAAAAAAATGTGGCGAGTAAACAACAAAAGCGACATATAACTAATCAATATGGAAAAAAAACTTCCAAATTCTGATTGGAAGCCATTTCCACGATATACACGTACACGCACATACAGCAACACGCATGCACCAATATTTCGCATGGAAGCGCTGTTTGCTCATTTTGGCACTGTTATGCTCAGTGACTTCCAGTTGGTCGGTCTGTTCGTGCTATCTATCGGTGAGGGAGGTGGGGAGGGGGCGTCATTCCAATTGTCAAAAACTAGCCGGCATGGTTGCTGTGCACTCATTTTCCATTCAGCGTTGCATTTTTTGCGCATCGATAAGAAATTTTTACAAATTATTTGATTCAAATCAAGTTTATACTAAATGTGTGGGTGCATTTAGTGCTACATAATTGTTTTTTTTTTTTTTTATTTAGCCATTTGTTGCGTGCTTTTATGAAATATGCACAATAACATGTGCACATTTACCCATTTCATTACAAGGCGTACAAGGTGTTTGCGTCATATGCAAAAACACTTATGTTTTTTTTTTTATTTGTGCCTAGTTAATAAATTGGCTCAAGCATAAGACACTCAATAAGAACTGTTAAAAAAAAAACAATTGGTATCATGTTATCGTATAATTTCAGCCATGCTCTGTTATCGATACATTGATTTTTCCATGTTGACAGCACCAACTGAGTTTAAAACACAAATAACAGCAGCATAGTGTAACAGCGCGTTAACATTAAGAGCTTGCTGCTCTGTAATCTGATAAGGTAGCGCCAAGAGCTAAACACTGATCTGACGTCATAAGCTATTAGTATTTGTTTTACATATATCAGATTGGCAATAAACACGCGTATATTAAAATCACTGCATATTTAAGTCGTTTGGTTACATACGTATATAACTAATTAATGAAGACTCGCAAATTGTTAGCTAAAATCGCGAATTTTATTTCGCGTTTAAGTGAGCGTGACGTCATAACTTACACAGGTTACACGCTCTCAGAGCGCGCTCACAATGTGCCGAATGCAACAGCTGACCTTGTACATTGCATTTGTCATGTGCTGATGTTTTTTGTGTTGGTTTCTATTTTTTTTTTTGTTTTTTCTACGCTTTTTGTTTTGTCTTGTCAGATCATTGCGGTGAGCGGACGTCTTGTGTTTTGCGCAGCGCTGCGTCGCAGTTTGCGTAAATTGACTCAACATAACTGTAACAGCAACAGCGCATTTTTGAATTGTGTTTACCGTTTTGTCAATGAGAATTGTGCAAATGAATTAATTTGATACAAAAGCTTGTGCATGTTATTTTTTTTTTATTTAAATAAAATCAATTGTGTATGGTTTTTTTTTTTTTTACTGTTGTTCTATTACTTGTTGTCAGTCACTGACAAAATACATGAATTTGATGTGAAATACGGCAAGGTGCAGGTGCAAAAAAATACAAATACAAATACAAATACAAATCCAAATAAAAGAACAAATTCAAATTGCAAACGCAACGAAATTTATGTAAGCACCAACAAGAAAAACGGCACATAGCATAAAAAAAAAAAAAAACGTACATTAACAATAAAAAGTATCTTTAAACATTCCAAATTGATTCTCTGCTTGTGCAAAAAAAAAAAAAAACTAATAAGTAAAAAGAAACGGAGAAGCAACAACAATAACAACAACAACAACAATAACAACGGCAGCAACAACAACAACAACAAGAAGAAGAAACCCATAGGCACGGCAAAGCCGAAGAAGAAGAAGCAGCAGCAGCAGCAGCAAATAAATAGCAATTTCGACTAAATAAAGGTATGTATGTATTTAATATATGCGCGCGTGTGTGTGTGTATGTGTGTGTAACGTTTACTTAACATACAAACAGTATATTGAGCTATAGATATGAATGTGCGCATCTGTGTGTGTGTGTGTGTGTTCATATTTCGTTATTAGTTTAACTCTTCAATTTATTATTGTTATTATTACTGCTGTTGCTCGCATGTGTGTGTGTGCGCGCGCGTGTTTGTGTGTGTGTGTGTGTGTGTGCTGTTGCCTCGTATTTGCTTCTTTTTTTTGTGTTGTCTCTTTCGCTAGTTCTTATTGTTGTTTGCCATTAACTATGCTCACTTGAGCCGAGCCACTGGAATAGTTACGTTAAATCAGTGCGTGTGTGTGTGTGTGTGTGTGTGTGTGTGTGTGTGCGTGTGTTGGCAAGCAGCGTAGATTACGTTGATAATGCTCAAGAAAATGCCAAGAGAACTTTTTGTTGTTCATGTATTTGCTTATTGTTCTTGGCACGCACACACACATACACACACACACACAGAGTAGATGTATATGGATATTATGCATAGATTAATCTACAAGCACATGCATGAATTGAAATTAAAATAAAATTGTATAATTGTTATAAATTCTCATTTGCAGTTGAGCTATGTACATACATTATGTAGTATAACAGTTGTGCATATATGTATGTATGTGTTTACATATAACAGTTTGTTTTTTTATTTATTCCATTTCTGTTTCATATCTTGTTTCAGCTCAATGACCTCGCATTCGCATGCTTCTTCTAGCTAACTAACTTTCTTACATTGCGCCATTTTGTCACGTCTTCGAATCTAACGTTAACTCACACACACACTCACACAGGCAATTTGACATTTAAGCCAGGCACATGCATCGATTAATATAATCGATTAATCAGGCGCAGCTGTCAACTAATGCAAGCAGTGCTGGAATCTGCCTGTCTAGGTGCATGTGTGTGTGTGTGCATCGATCCAATTGGATTCCGTTTAGTTCTTGGGCGCATGTACTGTCCGCCCAATTGCAAATCCAGTTGGACCGATAAGAGCAAAGCGCTTTAAAAGGCGCATTTCAACATTTTTTAATGATCCTTTGCCCTGCCTTTGTCTGGCTGCCGCAGCAGCAGCAGCAGCAGAAAAAACATCGCTTGGCATTTTACGACACATGCAAAACTTGCTATTTAACATAACCATATCCATTTCCATCCTCTGAGTCACACACACACACTCACACACACACACACACGCATACATATATGTACATGTGTAACTATGTGCGATTGGCAGAGTATCATTAAATGCAGATCTCTATAAAAGCATAAAAAACACATTGTTGCTGCTGCTGCAGTTGTTGTTGTTGTTGTTGTTGTGGTTATTGCGTTCGTTTCATCGATGCAAGCAAAGCGAAACCAAAACCGAACCAAGCCAACAACAACTGTCTACATGCATACAATCACACACATGTACACACATGCACACATGCACACATGCACATGCACACATGCAAGCAGCAATCCATAATAATCTTCCCGTAATTTATAGTCCAAGACAATTTATGTAATTTACAAATACCAAAAACGAAAGAGACACCAAGTGACGGAATGTAGACGAATGAGCGAGCGAAGCGAACGTTGAGAGCGAATGCAACTGCAACTAACGATAATAACAATAACTGAACAAAATATATGTACATACACATATATTTATATATATATATATATATATATATATATATATGTTATATATGCAACAACAACGACAGCGTACTAAATAAACAATTCAACAAATTTGATCCGAGGCGAACACACACACACACACACACACACACACACACACACACACTCACTCACACAAAACATCGTCGACTGGCACACGCACATCAAAATGCATATGAAGAAAGAAAAAAAAAAATAATAATTTGTGTAAGAAAACGTATAAAACAACAACAGTAAGTGCAGCGCTGCAGCAGAGCTGCAAAAACGGTAGAGAGAGCGGCGGGCGGGCGGGCGGACGGCGTTCAAACAAACGGCGACGTCGACGTCGACGGCGACGCGTATACAGAAAATGTCGTTCGTTTTTGTTTTTGCTTCTCAAGTTTTGTGAACGCATAAAATAACAAGTAGACGAAGGAGAAGCAGTAGCAGAAGAAGAAGAAGGAGGAGCCTTTCAATGCGGCACATCGAAGCTTAAATACACTAACAGATTCTTATATAAGTTCGATTCAAACAGCATCCACAGAAATAACTTAGTATGAGGAGCAACTGGTATATAATTATTAAATAGTTACTATGTTTAAGTGCATTCATAATTAATACACCTTTTTGCATGAGCACAAACACAAAAAAAAAATCACAGATAAGGTCTAGGGAACTTCCTTGTCAGGCTTATCAATGTGCATGTCAAAGTAATTGTACACACTCATAGTCTAGAGTATAGCAAAGCTTGTAATGAAAAAAAAAAAAAATAAAAACTATAGAAAAATTATAAAACTTGCACACATGCACGCGCAACGACGCTCACACACACACACACACACTCACACATCTCACGCTCATTCACTCACTCACACACTCGCACACAAACGCGCATTGAATGCGGTAATTGCATTTATTTCACGTGCATACGCTCCGCTCTGCGCTCTCTTCCCAAGTCCGTCTCTCTTTTAAGTTGCGCTCTGCGTATGCTCCCACCCAAAACCCCAAACTCGCTCGCTCTCTCGCTCGCTCGCTCGCTCTTTTCAACTAAGAACGAAATGCAGAAAAATCAACTTTGTGCAGAAAATGTTTTCTATGTTATTGACTTTCTATGTTTTCTATGCGGCTTGAATGCTTGCTTCTTCTTCTTCTTCTACTTGTTGTTGTTGTTGTTGTTGTTGCTTGTGTGTAGGTAAGGGCATTCCAAATGCGACTTTTTAGTTTGGCGCAACTTCTTTTCGCTTGCGGTTTAACTTTGCCTTGCATTGCATTAATGATGTTGAAAATGATCATTATGGATGATGCTGATGATGTTGATGAGGCTGAGAACTGGGTGGAGAATCACACAAAGGCAAACACACACAGACACACGCACAGCCATAAATACCTGCATAGCACATACATACATACATAGACAAGCATAGGTGAGAGGACTTGCTGGTTTGGCATCATTTATGTCGCTGCACCCCTCCTTACCCCCCTCACCAACCATTTACCACGCCAGCCTTGCATAAACTTGTCTATGTGGCCGCCGCTGCTGCTGCGCTTCATTCTGTTCCCAGTTCTCTGTTCCCAGTTCCCAGTTCTGAGTTGTCGCTGTGTGTGCGCTTATCTTTACTGCCGTTGCCGTTGCCGTTGCCTTTGCCATTGCCAAGTTTTTGTCTAGTTTTGGATTTTCTGGTCTTCTCGTGTATTTTTTTTTTTTTCGTATTTTCTTTCTTAACTTTTGAGTTTGTCTTGCTCTGACGCCTTGCGTCTCCTGCTCCTTCTTCATACTCTACCTTCGTTTGTGAGCACGCCCACCGCCCACACGCATATTCAGTTGCTGTTTGACTATTTATGCCCAGTCTTGAGTCGGCGCTGAATGGGGTATATTGGTTTTTGCATGGGCTATCTGAATATTAATTGAACTGGCTTCTAACGGTTATTTGGGATTATGTTCTAATTGGCGTAGCCTTCCATTATTTATCCATGTGGCTTATGCATGCTCGGTGTAGCTGGTTGCACTAAAACAGGGTATTTGCCAGTTGGGCAAACTCACTAATCGTGTACGTTTTTTTTTTCTTTTTGTCTCTGTTCTGCTGCTTGTGTTGCTTCTTCTTCTGCTTTAACTTAGTGCGCCTTGCATCTTACGTGGGTTGCTGTCGTTACTAACATCATCATCATCATGATCATCATCATGATCATCATCATCATCTTCATAATCATTATTATAATCGGATTTATCATAAACGTCATTATCGGCAGTTGTTATTTTTAGCTTTGCCTTAGCAGCGCATTCTTGTCCCTGACATAAGTACATGGATATGATTTTAATAACATGCATATGTATGTGCATGCATGCATGCATACATGCATACAAAAATATGTACATGCAAACATGTACATGTATGCGCACATCTACAGCTAAGTGCAGCTCCCGCTATCTCTCTCTCTCTCTCTCTCTCTATCTCTCTCGCTCCCTCCCCCTTTGTCTGCCTAATCCACTGGCTTAATTTGTATTTGTCTTATATCCATTTTCGGATTACTGTGAAATTCTCAATTTGTTTTTATTTTTTTTTTTTTTTAATTTTATGTTTCTTCTCTTGCGAAACACAAAACGTAACTGTTTTTTTTTTTTTTTTTTTTTTTTTTTGTTATTTGGTTACGCGGAAAATGTTTACACAATTTGGTACAAGATTGAATATCATTCGATTTATGCATGCATATATATATATATATATATATATCTTTTTATCATATGCACAAGTTTTTCATGTCTTTCAGCTGCAGATGCCAGACTTCATAATCGTATACCCTATCAAAGGGTATTGTTATTTTTTTATTGATTCGATGTAAGCACCTTTTTTTGTACAAATTAGTTTGTAAATCTTTCGATCTAAACCTAGAAATTGTGATGAGTCCTAGACAGGAACAAAAAGTCGCAATAAAAATGGGTTGCTAAAGGGTATTTGATCGTCGACATCAGCCGCTTCCCGTCAATGTCTTTTATTTAGCCAACTACAATGCTGCATATTGGGGCCTTACAGACTTGGGACCACACCTAACTATAACGCGTCTCAATCTTCAGTTGGAGCTTGTCTTTCCGATATGCGTATGTGCATATATGTGTGCACATACATGCACACAGACAAGTTGTAGGTGTTGAATTTCCACTTGCCTCTCTCGCACTTTATCTCTGTGCACACACACAGATATCTGACCCGACTGTATCTTCGTATCTTCATCTGGCTATCATATAATAAACATGCATACATACATATATGCATGCATGTACCATATGTGTATGTATGTGTATTTGTACTCGTATGTATGTATGTATGTGTGCACTTCTTCCGGACCCATTGTTATGGCAAGTACATGTAAATTGTTGTTCACGTTGTGCTCATTGTCGTGAGCTCGTAATTACCACGCACGGCTCCAAATCGAAATGCTCTAATATCTTACAAGTGCCACGCCCAAGCGCATGCGTACGCCCACATGCATCGCAAATCTTGTTTTTTATCTATCAAATTGAAACTGCGAAAACCAATTGACTAAAAAGATAAACTTATATTAATAAAAGATCTAGATCTTTGTACTTTGTACAAATATTCGCAGATGAACTAAAATTCTTCGAGCAATAATAAAGTGTATTTACAATGGAACTTGAGATTGTACAATCTAAAAAGTTTTGTAGTTTTCCACTTGCCTCATGATTATTATAATTGTCTTTCTAATTAGTAAGATTATCCAAACCCTTGTAGCTGTAAATATTTGCTTGACTCGTTATGGAAAAATGAACCAGCTCATAATTGAATTAGAATCAGAAATATACAGAATACAAATTTAATGAAACCCATTCAAAAGTTAAATAAAAAAAATATCAACAAATAAATATATGTATGTAAGTATAGTAGAGTAAAATGTCAATTTAATGGAAATTTTCGGTTTACAAAATTTCCAGATCATGTTCTCTATGAAGAACTATTTTTCGCTTCAAAAATGTCATTCGAAACGTGCGTTTCGAACTAGTTCCAGTTAACTTAAATTGATGCAATTATAAAATAAAAGTGGAAAATTCCAAAAAATTAACTGAGACCGGGCAACGCCGGGTAATGCCAGCCTTTTAAACTATATATTCAATTTATTCATTTCTGTGTGACCATATTTCCCCCTAGTTTTATTTTTTTTTTATTTTTTAATACTCTCTCAAAGAGCTTAAAAAGAGCAAAAAAGAAAAAAAAAATTGTAGCAATTATATAAAAGAGTTTTCTATGAAAGAAATTTCTGCAGAATTCTATGCAAAGTTTTAATTGGAAGCTAAGCGTATGCAATGCAATGTACATGTGTGTGTGTGTGTGTGTGTGTGTGACTCGTTTCTGCTTTTGGCATTCTTCTTCTTACATTTGCGCAACTTTATTGCACTCAATTTTTGCGCATTTTATGGTTACAGGGTAGAAGAAGAAGCAGCTGCCGCAGCAGCAGAAGAAACGCGCTGTATCTTTCAATAGATACTTTCTAAGTCAACGACAGCGTTTAGAATTTATCTAGTGCGCACACACACACACACACACGCGCGCGCACACGCGAACGTATTTGTGTGCAGATCTATCAGTGCGCCAACTTCGTCTTCGTTCTTTGCGATGTGTGTTCCTCAAGTCTTCGGCGCTGTTTTTCGCTCTCTGCCGCGCTCGCTCTCTAGCTGTGCATGTGTGCGTGTGTGTGTGTGTGTGTGTGTGCGCTTGCTGTCCGCAAATATGTTCATACAAATATTAAATTGTACATACCAGCATACACCGCCGTACCCCTCCCCTCCCCCCATCCCTTGCGCACCATCCTTTTGAGTCTTAGCAGCCACTCACCGTCCGTGCGTTGTATAAATTTTCTGTGGAACTGTACAATAGCTAAATAAAAAAAAAAAAAAAAAGAAAAACAAAGTTAAAGCACAACAACGACCAACGACGACGATACAAGAGTTAAGTATTAAATGTACGTGCGCTGCACACACACATACAGTTAGTGTGAGAGTGAGAGAGAGAGAGGCGTGAGATGCATGTGTATTGTAGTTATGTATGGCTAGTAAGTGTAAGTAGCGTGTATTTGTATTTCGTCGTCTTTTTGTTGCTGTTGTTGTTGTGGTTTTTTTTTTCTTTAATAGTTGTCCGTTGAGCACTTTGGCTGCGACTTGGACTACGACTTTAGCACGCTGAAATAACTAAAGCAACAGCCAACAGGAACAGCAGCAGCAACAACAGAAAATAGCAGCAGCAACAACAACAACAACAACAACAACAACGGCATTAAGAGACAAATGTTGAGTTTCTTGACTTTTCTGCCTTTACTATTTAGTGTTGAAGTTCGGCTCTCTTTGGTTGTATGTTTGTGTTTGTTTTTGTTTTTTTTTTTTTGCTCTTAGTTTGTGCAAGCCGGCAGTAGCTGTTGCTCTCGTACTCGCACTCTTACTCCATTATCCATGCTCATGCATTTTATACGTTTGTTATAAACTGTAATATTTCCTCATATGTAAACCGCGAGCGACGTTAACATTAACGTGTACGTTGACGTTGACGTCGACGCCGACGTCGACTTCGACGTTAACGTTGTATTCATTACTGTTGCTGTTTTTCTTTACTATGGTTTCAATTTTATTTAATTTTATTTTAAACTCTAAACAAAAGACTCCAAGTGAGCTGCAGACTCGACTTGGACACACACACACACACACACACACACAACACAATGAATGCTAATGGCTGGAAGAAGGGGCGAAAAAAAAAATCAAGAAAAAATGGTTATAGGTGGTAGGGGGGGGGGCGGCAGTTGAACGAGGGGGTTAACGATTGAACGTACCATATGCGGGCAGGGCATAAAAACATACACACACATATGCACACATAGTTATGAATGCGATTGTGTGTGTGTGTGTATGTGTGTGTGTCTTTATAAATTATACAGATATTCCATACATGTACATAGTTATGTTTGTAAGTATACTAACGTGTATATTGCTGTAGTTATATTCAGACAAGAAAAAAAAAAAATGCGACATGGAGACGGGAATTGTACGTACAAGTACTCGGTCGTACAAATATGTATTGCAAATTGGTTGGGTTTTCAGTTCCAGTTTCCAGGTCGTTGCTGGTGTCTCTAACTACGACTGTGTGTGCGTGTGTGTGTGTGTGTAAGAGAGAGAGAGAGATAAAGAGACGCTGTAAGCGTTTGCGTAGTTATTGCATGTTCTTATTTCTTGTTTCTATTTGCGCGACTGACTGCAGTTTTTCTAGATCTTATGATTTCCTTCTTCTCATCGCGATCCCATCCAAATTTGAGTTTGCCATTTTGTTGCTGTTGTTGTTGTTGCTGTTGTTGCTGTTGCGCTTGATTTCCATCATTTGAATAGTACAAGAAGCGTTGTCGTTATTTGAGCTGAATCTGGAACTGGTTCAGGAATTTCACATTCCTCGCACTATTTGAAAACGACGCATTGCCGTTTCAGTGTTGATCAGTTCGCACATTTTTGATTAGGTGTTGCAAGTGTAGCGCATATGCATATAAGTATTTAATATTCTGTCATTTTTTAGTACATTAAAGCCAACTCTCAAATTAGTGCAACTTTCATTTGCAGCCCATTAAAAAAGGAGCAGCAATTTGCAAGCAAAGAAAAGCAGCGGCATTGAGTTGCTTCTAATTTGTAGCTTATTGAAAAATAATACCAATTTGCAAGAAAATGCAGTCGCGATGCGTTGCGTTGCGTTGCGATGCTCTTAACATAAGACGTTTCTATACATACATACATACAGATGCATTTGCATATATACACACATATATATATATATGTATGTATATGTACATATGCATTTGTATGTGTGTATATTTTTCTTTTTATAATAAGCGCTTGAAGTGCAGCTTAGGATTTTATCTCTTGTTTTCTTTGCTGTTGAGACTTATTTTCTTGTTGCGTATGTGTGTGTGTGTGTGGGTGCGGGGGTGTGTTCAACTTCAACTGATTCCTGTTCTGCTCGGCTCACTCCTCAGTTGGATAAAAAGTTGTACTCGAAGTTAATATGCAGATGTTTGTCTTTACTTTAGGATGCAAAAAGCCCTTTTGCCATTTTTGCTTAGTTTTATGCGCAATAGCAAACGCTTGGCCCCTTGCCTCCTGCCCAATCTTGCATTGCACTAACTTGCACGGCTCCCTTCGGCCGTCCTTGCTTACCCTTTTAAGTGCGCACACACACACACACACACACACATGCTTAAAGAGCAAGCGAGAGCGAGAGAGCGCGCGATAAAACTAGAGAGCGCGCGTGAGAGAACATGAATTTATCGTTGTAGTTTCTGTGGCGGTTAACCTCACCTCACCTCGGCTTGCACACACCCCTCCCCTGGCCCTACCACGGCCCAGCCACTACCCATCCCCATCGAGCCCCTTGCCTGCCTTTAGTAGCAGTCATCCGGCTCATAGAGTTTATTTTATTATTTCGTTTCGTTACGATTTTTGCTATTATTTATTTGTTCGCTTCCCACTGTCTGTGTGTGTGTGTCTGTGTGTGAGTGTGTGTGTGTGTGTTTTTAAGTTTTGTTATTTTTTTTTTTTTTAGTTTTGACTTGTTTTCTTTTGTGTAATTTTATTTTCGTTTGTATCAAGTTCGTATGTATGTGTGTGTGTGTGTGTGTGTGTGTATGGCAACGACAGTAAGAATTGTATTACCGTTGTTGTTGTTGTTGTTGTTTTTGGAATCTACACAATAATAAAAATGCTCGAGTCTCATATATAGATTGGGTTGCTTGAAGGTGACAAAGCGTTGGTAAAGGGAAGGGTGGCGGGGGGGTAGCTTGTTTGCCTGTCGTCTCTGTATTTGTATGTGTGTGTGTGTGTTTATTGTGTGCGTGTTTTTATTTTCTTGAATTTCAATTTTTTCCCTCTCTTGTTTCTTAGTTTTATTTATTTAGTTTTCGTCTACGTTTGTTTTTTTTGTTTGTTTGTATGTATTTTTATATTTCTCCGACTCTCGCATTATTAATAAATAGTTTCTCGTTCTCTGTATTCCATTTCAGTATCCAAATCGCCGCCACTTCAATCGCGTCAACGTTTTCCGTCTTTTCCCGTGACGCAAAAAACAAAAAAAAAAAAAAAAACAAAAAACAAAAAACAGAAGAAGAAAATACAAACAAAAGTCAAAAAATAAAATACAAACATTTGGCCACACGCTGCACGGCGCACAGCGTTGCCACTTGTTGATTTTGTTTGTTTTTGTTATTGGTTTTGTTTTTGTTTCTGCATTGCTTTGTTTTTATTTTTTGTTGCGGGTGTCCGCTTTGAAGTCCAATGCCGCCGCAACGGGAACGCGGATAAATAACGGCAGTGCGACGCTAGAGAGGAGAAGATCTGGCATGCAGCTGGCTGGCTGGCCGGCTGGCTGCTCACACGCCTCCTCCTCTAACTCCGATTCCAGCTCCAGTTCCAGCTCCAGCTCCAGCTCCAGCTTCAGCTCCAGTTCCGATTCCAATACCAATTCCAATTCAAATTCCACACATAACTATACGTATCACGACGGGGGCAACAGCTTCTATTACAATTCCTATCGCATATCCTGATCTCCAGCAAATTCAACATGGACGCCGAGATATGCAATCCGCAATTATGCCGCATTTGCATCACATCGCACACAAACTCTATGCAAATGATATCCATATTTGGCGAGGATTCGCTTTGGCAAAAGATCACCACATTGGCGGATGTTAAGGTAAGAGAAACAAGAACAAACCGACTTTTGGGGGCACTTGGTATTTGACTAGACGACTTTAGGGTGTTCCAATCAGACGCACCGATTGCCAACTAGAATATGTTCAGGCTGCGAATCGAACCGGCGTCCTTAAGTTCTGTTCGTGTAGCTAATTTAACATAGACATGAATCTACGCTTAAATTAGAACCTTGCGGTTAAATTTTAAATGAAATAATTGGAATTTTGGCTCGTTTCACTTGCGTCACAATTCAAATAACAAAACAGTGCGCCAATTGGCAGCGTCCGACTAGTAGATACCGTGTACATCGTAGCTTAAATATACAAACACATATTTAGAGAAAGGCAAAGAAAATAACTAGAATATTCCCCGGCCTTGCCCGGTGGCACATATCAAATAAATGCTCTCCTAGATCTTAGAAAATGAATTTAATCGAATGGCAAATAAAAATGCTTTCTGTTGCGGGTGAAATTCCCCAAGCTCTTCAAATCGGACAAAATTGAAAACCACAAAAAAAAAAAAAAAGGGTTTAAATCTACGAAAAATGTGAAACACGTCTCAAATGATTTTGATCGCCATTTCCACCAAGAATGAATGCATTTTTCGAACAAAAATCTTAGAAAATTAGATTGGCAGTTCTTTTAAGATATCTACATATCTATCAAGTCATATCATAGTATTTGCTCTACGTGTGCTCAGTATCTACTGGGTTTATATTCCAATTGGAATGCCGTGCAAGCTGATTAGAATTTCAGAGAGATAAAAGTAACTTTTGAGAGTCGTTCAAGATAAAAGATTGAAATTTAAATTATGTTTTAAATGCTGACTTCATGAAATGTTCTTTATATTCGCATGCTCTCTAAAACTATCTTCATTTGCTTTATTTTTAAAATATGCCATCATGATATCTCATTGTTTAACTTTTGACAATCTTTTTGCGTTTACGCGTGATTTAAGACTTTTTGTAAAGATAAACTTTGGCAACCAGATTTAAACAATGCTGTTTAGAATCTTCAGAATCTATTAAAAGTTTTTGTTTGCTGCAAAAATCAATAAAATAAAGAAACTCCAAGAGAACAAAACATTTGGAATTCTATGTTAAAGCGTTTCCATCTGGCTAACATGCCAATTGGAATGAACTAGTTGAATCGTTGAAATGAACTTGTTGAAATGCTCAACTAAATAGAATAGATCCTGCATGAACCAGTTCAGTTCACGACTTTAAAATAAGCTTGAGCCTGGAATTTCCAACACCCCCAATTCAGCTGCTGGTACATGCGTACATGCATACATGCGTACATGCATGCGTACATGCATACGCGAAGGCGTTTCTCTGTAAAGTGATATGTATATGTATGCATGCATGTATGTGTGCGTGTGTGTGTGTCCCGTATATATGTATGTACTGGCACTGATATATTAACATATTTCATAGAATAGCCGTAATTCACAACATTTTTATCTCTTTCACAGTAACTGACATGAAATGAAATGAAGAAAAAAACGTTTCGTTTGCTTTTGTTTGTTTGTTTTTGTTTTTGTTCGTAATTCTTTTTTTTTTCTGTTTGTTTTAGTTGAGTTCAGCTCGTTTAGTTTTTAAGTATTATACCGTTTTTTTTTTCTTCTTTAGCCGGCGTATCATATACATGCATACATACATACATAACTTGGTTTTGTCTGTGCGTGTTTTTTTTTTATTTTTTTTTTATTTTAAATTGGAATTTCTTCTGTTTCTTGTTGCTTGTATTTAGTTTTCTTTCGTTTGCTGCTTTTGTTAAATAATTTACCGTTTGAATTGCTGCTTATACATACACACATGCATACATGCATACATGCATGCATATCTATATTTTTCTTCTTCTTTTGTTTGACGTCTCGCACACACACACACACAAGCACAACTAAGTATATGTATGTAAATGTATAATTCATGTTTGGTTTAATTCCATAAATTTTTCTTTTACAATTTTGTGCTGCCGCTGCCTCTGCTGCTGCCTCTGCTGCTGCTTCTGCTTCTTCTCGCATCTGCGCTCTCTTCACACAAACTGTTCTCTCTGTTTGTCTATCGCTGTCTCGCTCGCGCCGCTCTTGCGCTCGCTCTCGGCATGCGGCGGCATTCATTCAGTTAGTCGTTGTCGGCTTAGACGTTCGTTGGCCCCCTATCTGCCGCCCGCCCAATGGGGCGGGACGCAGGTGGCGATTAGTGTTGCCAATTCAGCCATTTTCTAGCTGTATTCGACAGTTTTAGCTATTTTAAAAAATTTATTTTGCTATTGTTGGCAGCTCACTTTTTTTTAAAGCTATTTTATAGCTTATTTTTGCAAGCTATTCAGCTAGTTTTTGTTTTTGTTTTTGTTTATTTTTTGATTGGGCAACACTGCGACGTCAACTCTTGCCCAACTCTTCGCACCGCGCCCCGCGTCTTCGTCGTCAACTTCGTTTGCGGCTGCGAGCGCTGCTTTGAATTTATTCCATGCCATTCCATTCCATTCATGTATTTTTTTCATATACATATTATAATTTATTTATTTTTTTTTTTAATATTTTTTGGTTTTTTGTTTTTTTGATTTTTTCCTGAATGTGAAATGTTTTTCTGGTTTTCTGCTATTTCTCAGTTTATTTTTTTTTAACATCTTTTCACATACATTTCGATTGCTGCTTTGGATTAATTTTTCTTTCATTATGCTTTCCTGCTTCTTCTTTTCTAATCATATTTATTATGGCTTTTTTTTTACATATATTTTTTTTTATCGTGTTTATGGGGCAAAACTCGTTGAGGAAACACGAGATCGCAGCAGATCGCGTTTATTAAACTTTAAATACACACACACACACACACGCGCGCACATACATACATACACACATACATGCTTACATGTGTATGCATATGTATGTGTATGTGTATACACCTGAGTACGCTCTATGTTTGTGTATTTATTTTTGTAGCTCTGCTAATTCTTGTGTAAATAAAACAGTTTTTCCATATCAAGGTTTCTGTATAATGAACATGATTATAACTACATACATGCATGCTTACATACATGCATGCATGCTTACATACATGCATACATGCATACATACATGCATGCATATATATCTATGCATATGTATGTGTGTCCGTGTGTATTATTACTATTTTGTTCATTTAATACAAAAATCCCAAAACCAAATGAAAATACGCAACAGATGAAAAAAAAACCTGTCGAGACGTTTTCTGTGCCTTCTATTTTTTTATAGTTTTTATGCATAGCTGAGATTTGGTTCGTCGACCCGCAAATCAAATTCGAAAGAAAAAAACCTTGTAAACTTTACTTTTTACCAGAAAAGCTAGAAAACAAGGTTTTTAACTGTGCTTGAGGTTCTTTCTTCTACGCTCCGGTTCATAAATGAACCAGTTCGCGCGCCAATTAGTTTGTTTGCTGGTTCAAAATGCGAGCGACAATTCTGATTGGAATTGCCAAAGGGATTCTAAGTAAAAAAATAATTGAATATAGCTTTATAGGCTAACAATATATGAACTTAAATTAAGCTGAACTAAACGAATTATCGTTGAATAACTTTCAATTTACCTGTGCAGATCGCCAAGAATGACACATTGCCGCAACAGGTGTGCGTAAACTGTGCCAAGACGGCCATCTCGGCGTGTTTGTTCAAGAAGAAGTGCGAGGATGCGGACAACTTTTATCGCCAGCAGCTGCTGATCAAGAAGATCGAGGGGCATACGGGCGAGCTGAACGTCGAGACGGTGCTCGACCAGCCGGCGCCGGATCCACCGCCAGCCGCCGAATGCCTCCTAACAGCTGCCGGTCTTCCGGCGAGAAGCGGCAGCAGCAGCAGCGCCAGCGGCAGCGGCAGTGGCAGCGCCAGCAGCAGCGGCGGCGGCAGCAGCAGCAGCAGCAGCGGCGGCAGCAGCTCAGACGACGACGAGGAGGAGGACAATGCGAATGGCGTAACCGAACCGGATCCGGATCCGAATGGCAATGTTAACGACAGCGATGCAGTCGAGGCACGGCCCCAGAATGGGCACGTCAACAGCAATGGCCATCAGCAGATCACAGAGCAGCGGCGGGAGGAGCAGCAGCCGAAGCAGCCGAAACAGGAGGCCGATGCACTGCAGCAAGTTGACGAGCCACAAAGTCTGGCGCTTGAACTCCAGCAACAGCAACAGCAACAGCTGCAGCAGCAGCAGCAGCAGCAACAGTTGCAGCAGTTGCAGCAGGAGCCGCACGAGGATGGCGAAATGCCGGAGCACATGCCGTTCAATTCGATACGCCTGATGCAGGAGTATATGCAGCAGCGCATGAACAAGTTTCCCAATGGCAATGGGCATGTGTTGGGTGCCGGCGGTCACAACGATGTGGATGATGACAATGACGATGATGACGACGAGGACGAGGACATGACATTGCCATTGATACCAGAAATTGAGCTGATAACACCCTCGGATCCGGACCCGGAACCGTCCGGCGGCATGATGCCCGGCAGCGATACAGATGCACCCGCCGGTCTGGCCAATGGTGCTGTCGCCGGCGCTGTCCATGGTTCAGCCGGCATCGGCGTCGGAGTCGGTGGCTTCCAGTGTCCGCACTGTTACCTAATCTTCGAGATGAAGCAGATACTCAAGGCGCACATGCAGAGCGTGCACGGCGCACCCGGACCCGTCTACGAGTGCACCAATTGCCGCAAGACCTACTTCTACAAGCGTTTCCTCGAGAAGCACATCCGACGTGGTCGTTGCGTCAAGAAGCGACGCAATCAGACGTAAGTTGCCCAACTGCCCCACCATTATGCTCCGTCCAGCATTTGCCTAATCCTATTTACCAATTGACTCGTTCACAGCCGGCCGATGCAGTGCTCCGATTGCCATGTCCTCTTCCCCACCGGCCATCATCTGGGATGGCACAAGCGCACCGGCTGCCCATCCAAGGCGGCCAAAATGTAAGTACCCATCGGGCTGGCAGCGGGAACAATGATAGGAAGCACTCGTGCAATTCAGTTCAACTTTAGATGGGCTCTCCTTGAGCTTTCAGAGATCTCTGCAGTTCCAACGCCCCACCTACTGCCCCCCCAATGTACTTATCCATCGACTGGCTGAACACTTTTAAGTAATCTATATAACGGTATATATATTATAGCTGAACAAATAGATCAAAACGACATATTTTGCTGAGTTTGAACCAGCGATTTCTCGCCTGTTCTTTAACATTTTAGCCAAAATAAGGCGTCGATTCAAATTTCAGCTTCTTAGATCTTAAGCTTTGGGCCTTTTAGTAAGTCAGTTAAGCAAATGTAAAAATTAAAAAAAATGTGATTGAGTTTGAACCAGCGTTCTCTCGCTCCTACTCTACCCTTTGACCCATTAAAAAGTGAGTTTTGTTCAATGCGTTCATCTCCTCCTTTCAGTTAAATCAGTTGAACAAATACAGAAAAAAGTGAATTATGTTGCTGAGTTTGAACCAGCGTTCTCTCGCTCCTACTCTACCCTACGACCCAAAAAGGAAGCTGAACTGAAAATTTACAGCTTCCTATATGCTAGGCCATGGGCTATGTGTTGATCATCTATCGATTAGACAGTTAGACAAATAATAAAACAAAACAAACAATTGTTATTGAGTTTGAACCAGCGACTGCTCGCTACTACCCTAACTTTCGTGCGCAAAGTAAGCTACAACTGCTACGCATTAAACAAAATAACAGTTAGTCAGTGAAACAAATGAAAACAAATTAAAAGTTGGCTAAGTTTGAACCAGCGACTTCTCGCTTGTAACGCTAACATTCGTTCGCAAAGGAAGCTTCAGCTGCTACGTTTCAACCCGTATGATATGCTTTTCGTTAGTCAGTTAAACAGTTATCAGAATAGGCAATTGTCTCCGAGTTTGAACCAGCGACTTCTCGTTTGTAACGCTAACTTGTGTTCGCAAAGGAAGCTTCAGCTGCTACGTTTCATTCCGTGCGAGAAGCTTTCATTTAGTCAGTTAAATAGACAATTGTTATCGAGTTTGAACCAGCAACTTCTCGCTGGTTCTCTACTATATCATATGTAATATCTTTATCTAAGTATATCTACTTTAACTCTCTCCTCTTTTGTGTACACTTTTGCAGGCCCTTGCAGCAGCTCTTCAAGCAGAATATTGTGCAGTTCAACAACTTTCCGAAGCGCGTGGTGCCGCGCAAGCCGCCGCCGCCGCCGCCGGACAATGCTGCACTGCATCTGAACAATCGCAAGTAGGTGGCAATTTGTTGTGTGTGAAGAGGAAATTGACTGATTCGATTTGTTTTAACTGGAATTTGTTTTTGTTTTCTTATAGGCTGGGCCTGACGAACAAGCGCAAGGGACGCACTCGCATCAAGCTGGACGCCAAGAAGATCGCCCTGGCCAAGCAGCTGATCTTGCGCGAGGCAACCACCACAGTGATTGCCAATGAGCTTAACATCTCGCGCACCTTCGCCTGGCGTTTGCGCAAGAGTCTCGTGAACGGTGTCAGCCTGCACGAGCGCGTCGTCGATCAGGCTCTCGAGGAGCACCAGCACCAGCAGCAGCACCAACAGCAGCAGCAACAGCTCCAGCATCAACAGCAACAGCTGCAGCTGCAACAGCAGCAGCAGCAGCTGGAGCTGGAGCAGCACGAACGCCAGCTGCTGGAAGAGCAGGAGCGCCAGCAGCAGCAGCAGCAGCAGCTAACGTTGCCATATGGCCATCTGGGCCTGGGCCTCATCAAGGAGGAGCAAATGGACAGCGACGATGAGCAGCACGCGCCGCTCACCATTCTTGACCAGCTTGAGCCCGACGACATCAATGGCCAGATCGAGTGCGAACACGATCGGGATCGGGATCGCGAGCTCGATGGCGATGCCGATACCGATGCTGATGGCTTGGTCGAGGGCGAGGGCGAGGGCGTGGGCGTGGGCGAGAATGATGGCATTGGCGATATTGGCGCCGAGGAAACGGCCGGCTATGCTGGCGACGATGATGTCTGCGGCCTGCTGCACAACGGCTACGATATGCGCGCCCAGCTGGAGGAGCATAGCCCCCTGGCCGAGTGCGCCGATATGGACCATGAGCTGCACTCCAAGCGCGCCATTTCCCTATCACCGACACCCATGTTGCCGGCACGCGCCGATGTCGAAGCCTATCAGCGACTCCTGGCCGAAACGCATCGCTTTCCGCACATTGTCAATGCCCAGCAGCTGCAGCTCCAGCAACAGCAGCAACAGCAGCAGCAGCAGCAGCAACAGCAACAGCAACAGCAGAAGGTCGCCCACAATGGAACGCTGCCCATGTTGACGCGCTATCCGCCCGCCGTTGTGGCGGCCAAGTAAGTAGAGCCGAGCTCGTTGAGCTGGTCAGGCTAGGCTGTAAGCTGGTTGATTGATTGGATACTTCATGTTCTCTTGAGGATGACAGCATTTCCGAGGCAGAAGGAAGCTCAAACGAGTCCATCATGTTGGAGCTGGACGACGAGCTAATGTCGTTGTTCATCCGTTTGTCCGTTTGTCAAGAGACCAATTATCTATGCTTGATGATTTTATCCTATTCAATTCGATAACTTCTTGACACTATCGATAAATATCGATTTGGAGGCAGAGTTTATTAAGCATAGCTTGGCATTTATAAGCACCCATATGCGGCAAACCTGAAATTTAGGTTCTTTTCATTTCGATAACTTATTCACAATATCGATAAATATCGATTTGAAGATATTGTTTAAAATTGCAAGAGTCAGCTTTAGCTGCATTCAAACCTGATACAGATGAGGCATTTGGACGTTTTCGGTCATTGTCCAAATAAAAGCTTAAGTGTGTACACACTTTTTCTATTTTATATTCCTTAAAATCTTAATGATCGGACTCTATACTCCGAAGTTAATCATGAACTTTAATTGAATTCTTGGAGTTTTCGTGACTCCTCTCTCTCTCTCGCTCTCTCTCTCTCTATCGCTCTCTCTCTGTTGTCCTTCTCTTTCTATTGCATGTCAGAAAAATATGCAATTAATTTAATGCATTTCTTTGCCATTTTTTCAGTCATGCTTTGCCCGTCAACTTGTCCCTGCGCTCGCTGCCGCCCATCAACAGCAATGAGAGGTTTGTGCTCTCTCTCTCTCTCTCTCTCTCGCTCGCTCGCTCTATCTAATGTTGTTGTCTCTCTTTAAGCAATGGCAGCTCTGGCAGCAACCCGCATCATCATCATCAACAGCCGCAGCCGCAGCCACCGCCGCCGCAGCAGCAGCAGCAACAGCAGCCGCTAACGCAGATCCATCAGCCTGGCAAGAAGCCACGCAAGCCGAACGTCTTCATTGATGATGAGAAATATGCCATGGCCAAGCTGTTGGTCGCACAGAATGCGTCCACCATGGAGATAGCGCGTGCCCTAAATGTCTCCCAGATGACGGCCTGGAAGGTGCGCGATGCCATACTGAAGGGCGTGCCGCTCTCGTATCGCAACAAGCGCGCCGAGGGGCGTGACGAGGCGGCCGTCCAGGCTGCCAAGGAGCAGCAGCAACAGCAACAACAGCAACAACAGCAGCAACAGCAGCAACAACAGGAGCAACAGCAACAGCAGCAACGCCATCAACAGGAGCTGCAGCGTCAGCAGCAGCTGCAAATGGAGCTGATCAAACAGCAGCAGCAAAAGCAACAGCAACAGCAGCGACAGCAGCAGGAATTGCTGCTGCAACAGCAACAACAACAGCAGCAGCAGCAACAGCAACAGCAGCAGCAACTGCGTCAGACACCAGCGGACACATCACATTATCAGCAGCAGCAGCAGCAGCAGACGCCGCCATTGAATGGTGGGAAAATGTTGCATCCGCGTCGCCGCTTGAAGGCCGCCGAGCGTGAGATGCGCGACAAGGAGATCACACGCGAAATACTCGAGCTGATCAAGGAGGACAGCAATATACAGTACTGGAAGGTGTCCGCACGCCTGGCCGAGAAGGGCATCAATATATCGCCGTCGTCCGTCTGCCAGAAGCTCAAGTCGATGGGCATACATCGGCGCTGGAAGCCCGGCGACAAGCCGCCCATGCTGGCCATCAGTCAGTTCAAGGCGGCAACCGTTGCCGCTGCCGCCGCGGCGGCCACATTGGCGGCGAATGGCGCCAGCTTTGGTCTGCCGAATGGCGTCAATGTCGGCGTCGGCGTTGGCTCGATGGTCGACGATGTCTACGAGCAGCAGCAGTTCGATATGGGCGGTCCACATTTTCTTAGTGCCTTTACGCGCTAGACGCCAATAACGATAACGATAACGATAACTATAACGCTAAACAAACGCGATAACAATAAATGTGACACTGACGATAACGTTAACGATAACCAGGACCAGTACCAGGACGACAACAAAGTGGCATTCGAAACGCCAACAAAAAATTAATGAACAACAGGATTAAAACAATTTTTGATAGCTTTGATATCGGCATTGGTAACAATAAGACTAACGATGACGATAACGATAACGATAACGATGACAAAGACGATAACGATGACGATCACCTGGAAGCTTTTACTAACAGTAACATTTTTAAATGTTAACTGAAACTTGATTGACAACACGATAACTACTGAAATCTGACAATTTTGTTATCGATAGCAGCGATAACGATGACTGAACGTGAATAATGATATCGAAAGCGATTTATTGACAATAAATTGCAACAAACACTTCGATGTCGCAACGATACCAATCAGAACAACCGAAGAGCAACGTCCATAGCGATAACAACATCTGTTACGATAGCGTTATCGGCATCGATACGCACAACGATATCGATTGTTGTCGGCCCTTAACAACAATGTTGGAAATAACAATGGAAACATTGCCAACAAGATCGATAGGAATATCGATAACGATGACGACACAATGGACTAAAGCATCAGCGATAACAAAAGACAATGACTAAACAATAACGTTAACTACGGTAACAGCAACAGCAGCTGTAACAGTAACAGCAACAATAACTGTAACAGTAACAGTCGTACGCACAGTAACTGGGACTGTACCTGTAACAGTAACAGCATGAGTTAAAGCCACAGTAACAGTAAGAATGACAGCAACAGTAACAGTAACAATAACAATAACAATAACAGTAACGGTAACACAAACAGTAACAGTAACATCAACAGTTACAGTAACAGTAACAGCAACAGTAACAGTAACAGTTACGGTAATAGAACATTACCGATAATGGAGACGATGACGACGAAGACAATGCCTCCCGGTCCCGCCCAACGCACGTTCCCTAACTATATAAGTATTACACGCATATGCATACACATACATATATATAAACACATACACACACACTAAAATACCCTCCCACACACACACACACACACCCATGCACAGCAGTAATAGAAACAACAACAATTTGTATTTTTTATATAGTATTTAAATGTGCAAATCGCGCGCTGCATAAAACTACATCAAATGTATTCTATACTATA